TCTTTCGGTAAAGTCTGGTAGATAGAAAATATAAATTAAAATAAAATATTAAAAATATATGAAGATAAAAGCCAAAATCCCACAATGTTTCGATCGCAACAAAAGCGGTCTTCATCAGGCGGAGGGAGAGAAGAGAGGGGGCAAGCCTCCAAATGCAGCTGCTTCTAAGGGGGGCGAGAGTTGCGAGGCAGCAGCAAGGCGTAAACAGCATGGGAGGGGGAGCCAGTGCTAATGTCGGAGTAAAGCGCGAGATAGAGGTGGAGCTGAAGGCGAGGGGCGCAGTCCAAGTGTGTTAGACAATGGGGGAGGGAGGGGGTAGAGATAGGGAGCTAGAGATGGGGGAGGGGGGGGCATTGCAGCTCATTACACACATCCACACTGCTGACGGGAGAGGTTGACAAGAAAACACAAATCAAATCAAGTAGATAATAATATTATAGCACTTAGATACTGTTATTGTAGAGCAGGCGGGAGAATGGTGGGGGAGGGGGGGTAGCGGCCCATCCTGCCAAGGTGCTACATCGGCCGGCTGGGTAATCTAGGCGAGGCCGGGGGCTCTGCACGGGACTAGGCCTCACGACGGCACTGTCAAGTTAGTAGTTTGTGCTATAGAGTCTACTGTAGTGATAGCAGGTACCACCACAGTCAGTATGCACTGCTGTAGTCATAGCAGGATATCACCACAGTCAGTGTGCACTGCTGTAGTGATAGCAGGTGTCACCAGTCGGTATGCACTGCTGTAGTGATAGCAGGTACCACCACAGTGACTATGCACTGCTGTAGTGATGGCAGGTTCCACCAGTCAGTATGCACTGCTGTAGTCATAGCAGGTGCCACCACAGTCAGTATGCACTGCTGTAGTCATAGCAGGTACCACCACAGTCAGTATGCACTGCTGTAGTCATAGCAGGATATCCACCACAGTCAGTGTGCACTGCTGTAGTCAGAGCAGGATATCACCACAGTCAGTGTGCACTGCTGTAGTGATAGCAGGTGTCACCAGTCGGTATGCACTGCTGTAGTGATAGCAGGTACCACCACAGTGAGTATGCACTGCTGTAGTGATAGTAGATACTGCTATCGAGTTGGTAGATACTACTGTAGAGGACTAGTGGCGGGCGTGACGTCAGGCTCGCTCTCAGGTGTGGTGACGTCACGGGAGGTGGAGTCATGCGCGCCTGCGGGCGGGGTGACGTCATGTCCTGTGAGAGTACTTAAAGAGGGGACCGTGACGTCAACGGGGTCGTGGCTGGGAACAAGGAACGAAGAAGGGTGGAAGCTAGAGCCCGGGGTAAAGGGATAGGAGTTTGCCGGCGTAAGAGCACAAGGTGTGGCTGCGCTCCTGGGTCGGCCGAGTTGGATGAACCCTCGGCCGGCGCACAGGAGGCAGCCCGGGCAGCTCGCTGTCAGGGGCTGAGAGTAGGGCAGAGCCTAGGACCCCCTAGCCCTGGGGGAAGTGTTGTACCCCGTGTTATTGGCGCAAGCCCTTAAATAAACACCGGCGAAAGCCCTTACATGTACCTCCGTCTCCGAGTCGTCAAGAGCCTCTCAACACTACTATAGACATAGACTTAGTATATACTAAAACAGTCAGTATATACCACTACGGTCAGTAAATATTTCTACAGTCAGTAGGTACTACTATACAGTCAATAGATACTACAGTCAGTAGCTACTGCTATAGTCAGTAGATACTGCTGTAGAGTTAGTAGTTACTACTGTAATGAGAGTGCCATCGCCTGGATTATCAGGGGGGCATATATATGAATTCTACAGTCCATGCTTATCTATAGTGGGGTTTCCATCTAGGATAAAGGTGAGAGGCGGTTCCACCAGGGAAGCCTCTGGAACGTTCGGGTAGGTTCCAGGAGGGGTGTGGCCAGAGGCAGGGCTTAGTCCCGGTTCGGGGGATATAAGCGGGACACGGAGCAACGCAAGGGGTCGGTGCTGAAGACTGAAGAGGAGCCCGCCGCTGTTTCCCCACCATCTCCATCCACCACGTGGCGGCTCGCCCTCCAGCCGCTCCCTAGCGCACCGTCAGCCGGCGGTGCGTTGGAGAGCACATGAGCGCCACGTGGCAGCGTAGCCACACGAAGGGTGGACGTCCGCAAAGGAAGAGACGGAGACACGTGGCTGTTCCGGGCTTTTATTGAATAAACAACCCAAAGTTACTTACCGTGTCGGAGACCACTCATTACACTACTAGAGTCAGTGGATACTACTATTGAGTTAGTAGATACTACAATAGAGTCGGTAGATACTACTGTAGGCCCAGTAGATACCACTACTGTCAGTAGTTACTACCGTCAGTAAATACTACTATACAGTCAGTAGCTACTACTGGCTCAGCAGATACTACTGTACAGTCAGTGGATGCAACTACAAAGTCAATAGATACTACTTACTCTGTTGTATGTAGGGGGTGTAGGTATATATACCTACGCGGGGGTAAAAATGTTTTTTGAGGTGGGGGGTCGACAATTTTTGGAAACCTTATATATCAACTATTTACCCACAACTTTCTATAACTTTTTGGACTTCTGCAAGCCTCTTATAATTGTGTTCGTGGAGAAATGGACAAACGGCCCACAATAGCTTAATATCTGTGTATGTATATTAATGTTTTTAAGAGAAGTTTTAAAATAGATTTTTCGCCCGGGCAACGCCGGCTCCTTCCCGCTAGTACCAATATAATCGAGAGGCACAAACTTCGTTGACGGAAATGAAATCTCGGCGGGCGGTGGCGGCACACGCCTGTAGCCCAGCACTGCGGAGGCCAGGGTTAGTGGATCACACAAACACACACCGTGAACCTTCCTTCCTGTGGTCGTCCACTCGCCCTACCCTGGCTTGCCAGGAGATGGCAAAAGAAAATATCCACCGGTTCCAGCTCAAGAGGACGACGTCTTGGGGCACCGCGTTGGGGAGATGTTGACGACCTCGCCTGGTATGCAGGAGGTCGTGGGTTCGATCTCGACTCTTGCACCAGCTGTATATTTGGAGTTTGCGTGTCTCCCTCTCTCATAATCTTCATCACGGTGGCTAGGGGATGTTAACTACCTCGCCTGGTATGGAGGACGTGGGTTCGAGCCCGAACCTGGCGATGCCTGCTGCTGCTGTGTATATGGAGTCTGCGTGTGTCTCTTCCCGTGGTCGCGTGGATTTTTCTCCGGGGACTTCTGGGGTTTCCCTCCACATGTAGAATCAACGTCACGCGTTTAGAGCGTTTGGCTGTTAAACATATTCCACGTGATCAGCCACTTCGTTGAGCTATCATTTGTGAAAGCCAGGTCGCTTCTTGAAAAGAGCCATTTAGCTCAGTAGGCCTTACCTGGTTAAATAAAATAAAAAGTTTGGTTTTAGTGAAGTCTTTACTCCACCAAGAGGTTCAGTTCAGCAGAGCCGGTGGCGCAGACGAGGCTGAGGGCAATGTTCGTACATGCAATGCGGTGGTCACATAGACACGCACGACAGGCATGATGGGAAGTCGTGCCGCCTTTCCGCTGCTTGTGAAGAGGCACACCTCGTCGCGTTGTTCAATTTGTCGGACATCACGGCCGACACCCACGCGGTGCCATTGGAAAAACACCCAAACGGTAGGGGGGGGGGGTACTCCTGGCGCAGCGAAACTCCCCCTCGAGACGTTCCGTCGTGCGCCCAACCGCTACGCCTCGCGGAGCCTCTCACGCTCGGCGACTGCAGGTAGAGGCATCGAGCCGACCGGTAGAGCGAGTACGTTCATTTTTGGATGAATACGCCTAACGCAGCTTACACCTTAATTAAAGGCCTGAAATCAAACTCTCTTGGGCCATAACGCGAGGCCCGTTCAACGGATTCTCACCGCCAATTGGTGTAATAAAGATAACTCGGGATCGAAAAGAGAGAACAAAAATACTTGATGCTATTGGAGTTTTGTAATCCACTGTGCAACAACAATGATTTTTGAAATTAAAAGATCACAAGTGGATTTTGGTCAGTCCTCTCTTCCAAAAATCAGGCATAACAATGCTTATTTAGAATCCAAATCCTATATCAGACCCTCACATCCTACGAGTGGCATGTGCAGATTTAATAATTATCTTGCACTTATTGGTGGTGACATGGACGAGTGGCAGTCCAACTCTCGCTTGTTCGACAGATTCGCGATTCGAACTGGCAAGCCGCCCTGGTTATCACTGCGGCTGTATTAACCATGATATACCACGTTCCATCTGCTTCAAAGTGAATGTTAACGATCCGGCAATGTTACGAAGTAGACCATTGTGCGCAGTCATCATGGTCAAAATTAGAAAAATGACTCGCAAATCACTTCACCGGAATGACAGACAGAAACATCACCGTGGCGAGATGTTAATTCACGTGGTATACAAATCGTGGGTTTGATTCCGATCCTGACGCCTGCTGTGTATTTGGAGTTTGTGTGCCTCTCTCCCTGTGGTCGCGTAGATTTTTTCTCCGGGTCCTCCGGTTTCTCCCTCCAGATTTAGAATCACGCGTTTAGACGACTTGTCTGATATACATTTCCACACGACGATGAGCCACTTCGTTGAGCCATCATTTGTGATAGCCAAGTCGCTTCTGAAAAACAACCGTATAACTTAGTGGGCCTTACCTGGTAAAATAAAAAAAAGTTTAGTTTAAAATGTTTTTTAGTTGAACATCGCCTGTCCTGCGAAAAAAAAAAAACGTAGGACACCCTCCTGAAAAATTGTCTCGAGACTGCAAACATTTCCTGGGTAAATAAAGTGTGTAACCAATAACAAACAGCGCTTATTATCAGAGCTGACCTCAACCATCTGATCTCAACCATCTGATCTCCACCATTGGACCTGGCCTCAACCATCTGACCTCACCCATCTGACCTCAACCATCTGACCTCGGTTCCATCCGACCTCGGTTCCATCCGACCTTCCATCGGATTTGACCTCAACGGGATCTTCTGGCAGCGGCGTTCCATCAGACAGTTACAGGGGAAGGGGGACACAGACTGGCGAGAAGGCAGCGGCAACAGCTTTCGTTGTTTTTATTCACCATTTAAAATGTTGCGTAACATCTTTGCACAATGCGTCTGACGATCAACGGGCGAGTGTGCCACCTCCCCATAGGTAGAAGAAGAAGCACGATACACACATCACAGCAAGTTGAGCCCCGTCGCTTCGGGACGGGGGGGGGGGTCCTCATAGGCGGCAGTACGGCCACACACACGGCCACACACACGCACGTACAACGTGGCATGTACATGAGATACCACCACACATTTATATATACTATGGTATTTATATATCACTGTGGCGCATACAAGTAAGGCCTATTGCTCTCCATATACAGCGGTTATGCATCAGTGTCAACGTAAGTCCATGCGGAAATTGAAATTCCGTTCCGGCTTGCTAGTCCGTAAGCGAAACACCTCGTTAATTATAGACAGCCCCGCTAACGTGTTCATACACAAGGCCGACCCCGAGTTGTTCGGGGGGTGGGGGTTGACCCGCGCCTCGTTATTTATTTATTTACTCTCCTTCCATTTGAATGGGCCGGTAAGTGGCGACGGTCTTGCGCAATTCATCGACTACTCGTTACGGGATGACAATGTGCAGCATTCGCCGACCAGAGGAGGAGGAGGAGGAGAAGGGAGGGAGGGAGGGAGGGGGGTCAAAGTCCCCTTGTTCACAGGCTCACTCTCGCATGTGCACGTGCGGTTCATTTCATATCGATATATTTTGTTCACCGTTACGACAAGTTGAGGTTAAGCGATTAGGAAATAACCTGATGAGGTTGGGCGATAGGCCAGTGATGTGATGGTGTCCTAGCAGGTAGCGAGCGGCCTAATACATGGAATTTGGTAAACGTGCCCCAATTAATTATAAGCAAAGCAGTCACAAAGTGGACCGGGTGGTAGAAAGTCAGTGGCTGTTTCTAGAAAACACCACGGTGACATTTTGCCTTAAGCTGCACTACTTAAGCGTAAACATCACGTGAACGGGTGCACGACTTGAGCATATTGGCACTAGGCAGAGGAAAGTAGAAACACGTGAGGAAATGTGCAGTGGATGCCTATTGCCCATGGATCGTGATGATGAACATGCCACTTGAGATTGCTATTCTTTATTCAATTCACGATGGGACTGTGGGGCAAGGGATAGCCCCAGCGGAGTCTATAGCCGGATTAACAAAGTAGTTAACCTCCCCGTCATATCAGCCGGGCCAAACAAATTAAATAGGCTAAACCAAATCACACAATTTTTCTGGGTCAATGTTGACCATCCAATTATGGCCTGGTACAGCGTTCGAACTCAGTCAAGCCTTATCACTGTGAAATTCTCAAGATTAAATCTACAAATGTAATTTGGCCGTGATCAGATCTTGTTGAAAAAAAAATCGCCAGCAAGTGTCCACTCCGTTCCGCGACCGCCCGCTCCCAAGAGGTTACAATTCACAGCCGAGACCACCTCCACCGTCATCAGCAACTCCCACCTCGACTCAGGGTGATAAGGACCCCTCCTAGCCACGAACAAGCGGATAACGCCAAGGTCGGACGGAACAGAAGGTCGCGGGCGCTAATTAAGAACGCCCCGCGCGCGTGTGTGCGTGTGTTGCTTCACGAGAGCGGGTGTGAAAACCCAGACCGCGGCAGCAACGCGTACCCCGGCCCCATTGTTCCGAACTCGCGTGGCCTTAATTGTTGATACTGGACAAAAAAAGCGCTTCGTAAGACTCGGGGGAGGGGTGACAGGTGGAGATGAGCCCTACGCGGGGCCGCGCGTGCAGTGCTACCCGCCCCCCGCCCCCTTTACGTTCCTGATTCCCGCGTGCGCTCAGGTCGCGACTCGCATTTGTCCCATCCGTGGAGGACAAATTAATTCCACGATTGTAAATCACTTCTTTGTTGTTGTTGTTGTTGCGTGTAACAATGGCACGCCTTTCATCGTGTTTTTTCTCTCCCCCCCCCCCCATTCAGGAAGTGCACTGCACAGTTGTGTTTTTATATGAAGGGAGAATATTGGGTAAAACAAATGGATGGGCATCGCTGAATTCCGGGTTGAGCGTAATACTACGGCTGGAATAAATGAACCTCCTGGAATGAATCGAGCCGCGCTGAGACGCGTGCCACAACCCTGCACACAGCGGCTTGTTTCGTTACTTTGAACTTGACACGGGGACATTTACACAACACTTAGATGTCGACTAATTCTGCTCACACACATTTGATTCCTTTTAGATAAAACATAGGTTGTTAGAATGGTAAAAAACATGTGGCCTCAGAATCACTTCCATACATAACCGGAATATATTTTTAAAAAGATGCTTGACGCATTCGGCACGCGCACTCCCAGCAGGGCAAGTCACACTTCCCAAACCGTATGACGCTGGGATCGGGACATTTGCTGGGATCGGGACATTTGCTGGGACAAACACGCTCCTACCCCTTTTGCAACATCAAATGACGAAGCCAATTGTTGTCCAGTTTACAGCCCACTGGGGAGAAGACCGATGGATGTGTACGGAATACCCACACAACTCTAGTTGCCAATCCTACTGGAGGAAATCCTCAAGAGGAAATTCTGCATTGCGTGCAGTACACAGCACACAAGGGGAACGAGGGCTGGGGAGGGGCATGTACAACTTCAGGCCCTCAAGAGGACGCTGGCCATTCTTGATTGTAAAGTGTATTGGTCGGAAAGACTTTAACAACGACAAAAACCCCCTTCGCTGCACGAAAAATATCCACAGGAACCGAGAAGCCGATCCCAAAGACAAAATGCGGACGGGAAGGTGGGAGCTGTGCATCCCAAGCAGCTGAGTGACCTGCTGCTGCTGCTTTACCGTGGGGCACTGGTGACACTCAGGGCTGAACAGAAGTAGGTGGCGCAAGTGAGAAACGTGCCCACGGTTTCAACTGCTGCGCTGGGAGACAGAACCGGCGATCTGTGGACTGCTATTTGAGCGTGCTATCCCCGTTACACCATCGCAGCATCCCCCACACCCCCCCACCTCCTCGATTAGCGTATTGGGATTAATGCTGCGTGAGCTGAACAAGGGGACGCAAGACGCTCCAGAGGCCACGAGCTGCGTGTTCCTTCCCCAACGGCGAATGCGCTCTCGCTTCACGAGTCGCTCGCTGCAACGGATTCTCGCCAACGACCCACGGACGCTGACTGCGAAGGTCCTTCCCCACTACGCGGTGGGACTTGCGGAGGGGGGCGGCGGCGGCGGGTGGGGCGAAACATATTGAGAGGCAAATTAAGACGTCAGGACGCGGCCCAATTACTGTACATAACGTGCCACGTAATGGCACGACTTGTCTGGCTAATTAGGCACGCGAGTCGGATGGTTTCGGCTTCTGGCTGCCGAAGCGCCAGCCCGTGGCCTTCCTGTCAGCGTGTTTTGCAGCTGTCAAAAGAGCCCCCCTATGTGCGCGTCAGGGACGCACCTGGGTGCCGGATCTGCGATGCGTCACGTGGCGGTAACTCAGAGGAGCAATGCGCATTCTTAACAGAGAAACCGTCCTTACGTTCAATAACGCCCCCCCCGACCCCAAACTAGCAGCCTGTGTTCAACGAAGACACGGATAGGATGCGATGGCTGGGCGAGTTTACCCGCAGGCCGAGTGGGGTTATGACGACCACCAGTGTGGAATGGGGGGGGGGGCAAGCATCAATTGGCGCACGCGTGCGTCACACGGGGAGGGGGTCAAGAAGGTCATTGGACTCGGTCATCGAGTCCGATGAGTGAATGGAGAGAGGAAAACAAACGTGGGCGAGCCGTAGTTCTGGCGAACTTAGTCGTGACCACGCTCCGGGTAATGTCCCTACCAAATTTTGTTAAAAAAAATGTATTGTACAATCATCCTGATTTTTAAGGACATCAAGTGTACTCATTGCTCGATTCTCATTACTGATAATAAGGGGAAAAGGTGGGCAAAAATGTCTTTCATACCTAAAGGCATTGTTGTCCGAGACCAATGTTTTGCATTTGCCAATGTGGAGCAGCTGTTCTACGATGATACTATACAGAAATCAGTCGACTTTCAGTGTTGCATAACATTGGTCTAACTCATAAGACTACAACAACCACAAGCATCCAGGCTACCGAGGACAAACGGGAATCTTCTGGTCGTTAAATAAACCACCTTTAGTGACACTTTCCTTTCGTTTGTTGTCTAAAACAGTGTGCACTTTGGGATATTTTTCCATTAAGGATGTTTAATGCAGACTGGCCACTGGCCTGCAGGCTCCTGCCAAGACAAAGAAGTTACCAGATTAAAAAAAAAACACAAAAACAGGGGACTTAAAGGAACAGGCAACCCAAAGCACAAATTAGCTCTTATCTCCCGCTTACACACGTAGGCTGCGCGTCCCAGGCTGCCCAGACACGAAGCTCAAAGCTTCGTTAATGAGAAAAGAGAGAAATTAAGGTAAAAGTCATGCGCGCTGCTACAGCGACGTTACCGGCGTTAATTGTAAAGATAACGTCGTCGCCGCGGTGACGCCACTGCGGCTGCACTCTCCCGTGAGTGTAAATCAGTACATTGCTCTCATTAACGAGGCTTGAACCTCACAAGGGATATGCCAGAACATGCACGTTAGGGTACACATTTAATCATCATAATCATCAGCCACGATCAATCCACCGATGGACGAAGGCCTGCCCCAGACGCTGTCCTCTCTCACGATCCTGCGACTTTGCCAACGCACCACGCACCCGCACGCGAGCCAAATTTACCGCTCCATCTCCCCCAGTGGACGTACTGTCGGGACGCATTCCATTCCTCGGCTGCCACTCCATTGTAACCATCGTCCATCATCCTTTCGAGTGACGTGGCCTGCCCAAGCCCAGCACACTTAACATGTATTAACAGTTTGAATGACGTTACTGGACCTCCGTATGTTCTCATATCGAAAAAGAGACATTTGGAGTCTTTCCATGACGTTTTCCCTTTAACTTTGTACGATCATAATTAGCACTTGTGTTGGTGTGGAAAACCTAACATGTAGACGCACACAGCTTCAGGACGTGACTATGTTACACACACAGCTCATTGGACCACCCCCAAACAAACATGCAGGCACTTTATAAAAAAACCCACCAATAAAAATAATTATAAACCTATTATGTGGTTCTCACAATAAACTTGAAATGAGAGGCTCCATTATCATCTGAGGCCTGAACGTGTTCACCAATGCCTGGCAGACAAGCGCAGGGAGATTCACGCGAGAACAACTTTGCCCTTTCTAATTGCCATTTGCCACAGCAGCGGTGGGAACCACAGCCCCGCGCACGCTGCAGAATGAAGACACCGTTCTGCACGTCAGGGTAGAGTCGGTGCGCAGGACCTGTGGCGTTTTGGCCGATCATGTTCCGCCGTGGGATTTCGAAAACCTCAATTTGATTTTGCGAGCGTGATGGGGAAAAATTTGCCGAGATTTCGTTTTTTTTTGCTTGCGTGTGTAAAACTGTTTACCTCTTTAAATATGGAGTAAATATTTCGGTCAGAAAGGCAACAACACCACTGCTCGTGTTTGTATGGGAGAGGATGGAGAAACGTTATGTTCTCATCGTGCTGCCACACACTTGGGACACAGATACAATATACTGCACACACCTCGGTGCGTTTAATGTGGCGTAAGCTTACGCCGCGTTAAATGAGCCGAGAGCTTTGTTTGCAGGCAAAAATAAGGTGATTGCAAGCATCACTTGTGGCTATAACTGGAAGCACTTGTTTGCAATCCCCATCAAGTCGTGATATCTGCCAAACGCGACGCACGTGAAAAGGCGAAGGAAGATTTGCACTCGAGTGTGCTGAACTTGAGAACGGTGAACCTCATCAAATTCAACTTAGCGGACACTCATTTATCAGATACACAAGTTAGAAACGAGTGAATTTAAAGGAAAACTCATTTTGTTAGATCATTGAAAAACAAGAGGACGGCATCAACATTCAAACAGATGCCCTCCTTCAAGATGGGGCTCAATTCTGTGGTCCACACTGCCAGCCAAAACGGCAATTGTTTTTCTCTGTTCAGCAGAACAAACACCCCCCCCCCCTCCCCCAAAAAAACACATTTTATATTTTGTCTCTCCCACATATAAACTACAATTATTTTCAGTGGCATCAGCGTGCTGGAAGGCAGTGGATGTCATGAGTATGGATTTCCACAACTTGCGCTCGGACGAAAGGACATTTAGAACTTCCACAGACCATGGTGTGCTGGGCACTCTTGCCGTCCTCTGCGAAGATCAACGCCCAAGTGGGATCGCACATTTTCTGGGGGGGGGGGGGGGGGGGGGGGAAATCTCCCTCGCTCGCTTTAATTTCATTCTTCTTCTTTGTTGCAACACCCAAGAAACCATCACTTTTCCTGTGCATTTTAATCTGCGCATTTGATTAGCAGGCACACCACCGGCAGTCACGGAAAGTATATTCTCACTGCAGTGGAGGGGTCCGTGGAAGAACGCAGTAACGACCCAACACGTTCAACGATTAGTAAGAGTCACAGGACGCCGACGAAAACGAAAGTGAACAGAAGAACACGCGTTCGTCCCGTGAAGCGGCACTTCCGTGTGCGACACAGCAAACAAATGAAGGCACAAATGAAAAGCCGGCTCCGTGTGTACGCACACCGTGTACATATATACAGCAAGCACATTGCACCTCTCTTGCTTAAAGGAAACTTTGTAAAATAAACGGTGAAATACACAATTCATATGCAAAAATAAACATATTCATGTTATAACATTTTGGAAGCAACATTCTCTTCAAGCAATGTAGTCAAATGTAAGGGCAAGTCAGTTTTCACAGTAGTCTGTGCAATTTTTTGTCTAGTGTTTCTTTTTTTTTTACAAAAAGTGACTGACAACACAATATTACAAGCCTCTGTATCATCATCATCACATACGCATGAACAACGGGGGTCTATTATTTTTGTTAAAGCTATGCATTATACGTAAAAACAAAACCCTCGCCTTTGTTAAAACGGAACGGCTTATTATTTATCCTGCGCCCGTGTGGACCGGCGGCGACGTCGTGTCGCGCCGCCAAGACGCGCGGCGACTTGGGAGTGCAGTCTGCGACGGACACTTGGTCATGTGACCTCGTCATCTCGTAATATTCCTCACCCGGCTTCCCAGTGCCCAACACTCACACAACGCCTCCACTACGTCAGCGTGTGGGGGGGGGGGGGCGGGGTGGCCGCGCTCCGCATACGGTAGCGGCTCTGCTGAGCGATGCAAAGGCGGGCGCTGAGAATTTTTGGAGCCGAGCGTTTTGCATTACCCATACGCGGCGCGCGCGCTCGAGGCTGGCGTTGGGTGAGCTTCGGGACCTTTCGCAAAGCTTAGGGGTGGAGTTCCTGGACTACGCGCCGTGACGAAATTAACTCCCGAGATAGAAAATAAAGCGAAGACAAACAAAGTGTCCCTCCATTCGCGCACGGGGAGAGCTGCTACGTGAAACGTCTGGGTGTGGGACTGTGTGCTTTTGTGATTTTAGTAATAAAATATATGTAGATACAAAATAATTTGCAAGGTTACGCAGGGTTCAATGTTAAAGTCATGACCTGGAACTAACGGAGGCAAGTCTTGTGTTTTGCAGAGATCCTTATCGCACACTGTGCTCATACACTCCGGTGACCCGTGTTAAGAGTTTGACCTCAGTACCCAGCAAGGGCCCCCTTCAGGTTAGCTCAGCCTCAAATGAGCACCTGGCGCCACAGATGTTGCGGGGGAGAAAGCAACAAATGCTGCCGGGGTGTGTGGTGGTGCCGATCACCAAAGTGGACGTGCTTCCTCCCTATCGCACGCTGGTCGCACAACTCCGCACTTGTTCAAAATGTTCTTATTTTTGTACTATATATATTTAAACGAGACCGTGGTCTAATTACTCAACGTGTGGATTGTTTATATGGAAGCACTTTTTCCTTTTGGGGAATTTTAACACTGGACCAACGATTAATTGGGAGTGGTAACAGCGGCAGTGTGCGGTGGCTCTTCCTTGCCAAAGGTATCGAGGGATATTTATTTATTTACGTCTGCAAAACGTTGCACAGGAATTCAATCAAGGCACCCTCCTGTGTCCTCGCGTGGTGCTTGTGATGTAAATAATATAATAACACAAAAAACGTGAAATATTTACCCTGAGCCACTTGTAAAACTCCACTCCAAGCCACCCCGTGTCAAAGTCAAGAAAAATCAATTTTCTCAACAAGCAGCAACTTGATGAACTGTGCTCTCGTCAGCAAAGGGGGATTCTGATCACCTTCGTTGCGTGAAAGGCAGCTTTTTCTTTTCTTGAACGCAATGTGAAGTTTCGTCATTTTGACCGCACATTTAATTAGCACACGCTGGCGTACTCTTGCAAATGCCGTCACAGCTTCTTACGAGGTCCACCCTGGAGCAGATCGCACAATTTGTCAATTATATGCACCAATTAGCTCTGTGCAACGTCGGCTTACTGGCCACAACACGCGGACCACTCGGCTACCCAGAATCGGAATAATTATCTGCATGACAGAGGCAGCTAATCATCAGAGGGGCGAGAAAACAGAGCCCGACCGGCAATGTATTGCCCTCAGGACCTTGGCAGCAAGAACCTTCTTGTTTCTCAGCATCTCATTCTGTATCCTGGACGGATAAATTAATTGAAATGAACCCCTCGCATCACCCGCCAAGGAATCTGTTAATCGGTAAATCCGGTGCAGCGATCTGTGCCACACCGACACGGCCACTGGCGAAACCAGGACTCTCTGTCTCGCCGCCACGCCGGGTTTTTGCACCGTAACCCCCCCCCACCTCGCCGCACCAAACCAGCGCACGCACGGAGGCGTTAATTGCCGAAGGATACGCGCGGAGCGTACACGCTCGAGGTGCTCATCCGGTGCAGCAGCGGCGGCGGGGACCAATGGGCGCCGCTCAACCCGCGCAGCGTTGCAACCAGGTCACGTACGTGCGCAGGCGCACGTTAAGACGGCTGCGTGAGCTACTCCCCCCGCCACCCGGCCCCAGCCCCCCCACCGCCCCCTCTCTTGCAAACAACAGTGTAATAGGCGACCGTCTAGGTTAAAATATAAATTTTTGTTAAGGAAATCTTCAAATGCCCAATGAAGAAAAGGAGGTGCGGTGCTGTCAATTTGGTGCACTCTTGCACCTACAACCTCGCCTGGACTAACATCAACAGGCCGGTGTCGTGTGTTTAAAACCCGATGCACATTTATCTTCTCAGTTGTTGTTATTAGGGGGAGGCGCTGGTGCAGTGGTTAAACAGGGCACCGTGCGACGATGGTGGCGACTTGAGTTTCATTTCCCGGCCACGGCTAACATCAGTGGCGAGTGGCATCTCAACTGCTCCTTCACCAACTTGCCACGGTCCAACATTGTGAAGTATGGTAAAAAAGAAAAAAATCACAATTAAATTGGCGTGTGGAGGCCTACAGCTATCAGTGGATTGACGAAGAGCTGTACATTATTAATTTTATAGTACGCCTGGGAATAAAACCTGGCATGAATGCTGCATTAAGTGCACCATCGATTAAAATAATTTAGTTATTCTAATGCACTATTTTAGAGGGTTTTTTTTTCCCCACGTAAAAAAAAAAACACTGTGTGTAAGCGTACAAGAACCTAGCACCCCCCTGGGCCCCCCCCCCCCCACCGCTAACTCTGTCTGATTACTCGTTCGATAGCTGCCGCAAGACATGTGCACCAAGCACTACCTTCACCACACGCCACATAGCTGCCAAATGCACCTTCAGATTGGCAGAAGGTACTGACCCCTAAGCTCGGCCTCATCTAAACCCAGTTTTGCGCGATGTTCTGGGCTTCGAGCGTTACTTCACCAGTGAACATAAACAGTAGTAAATGAAGGGACGCGTGTCAGTGGTGTCCAGTTGCGACTGCGCTTTCCCAACGGGCGCCTGCGTACGCTACGCAAGCAGCGGTACTGGTTTAGCACCTCCAGATGAACCGGGGCCATGGTGATGGCCGACGCGTCACCCTCAGTGTGCAGGAAAAAAGCACGCAGACGTTTGACAAACAATTCCGAGTACAGTATTTGTCAAATTTAAGCGATACAAAAACACGTTTACGGTTTCCTGATTTTAAATCGGCTACTCTCTGCTTTTGCAGATTTCTACTGAATCATTGCTTCTACTTCTGGTAGGTTATGTTGAAAGAAACTAGAACACTTGACGATGAATGGTAAGGACATTTTTTTAAATTTTATATTCAATTTTTTTTAGCTTTTTCTTTTCAATTATGAATAACAAAATATATACGTGGAATAGTCCTTTCTCTCCTTTTCTGAACGCACATTTTCTTTGAACTCGTGTTCATTTCACATTGACGTAATCTGCAAAATATACAAAATGTTCCCAGAGTCGGGAGTGATGGGGCTGGTCATTTGTGACCTGTTCCATTCGCAAATTCCCCCAGTCCGCTCGGTCGACCGCTCGATTGCAACACCCGCTACCAAAGCGCACAGCACAGCTGTGCAAGACCTTCAGCTCGGTGTCACGTGGCACTTTTAAAACGACTTCACTCCACCCGTTTAAAATCACCCACTCTCTTACGCGCCACGCCAGCACATGGGCCACCCGTGGTGGCAACGAGACCCTCTCGCGAAAGGCCGCGCACCCAGGCACGAACGGGCGCAGCTATTAAAATGCATGACGTTTAAATGTACAAGGATGAACACCTTGCGGACGCAACCCCTTACACGGTGATTTAATACTCAAACTGGTGCGAGGGCCCGGCCGCTTGGCTTGCCACTGTCAGGGAAGCAACGTTGGAGAACGGCTTGGGTGGCACCTCAGGCTTGGCGACCCTGGCCACGTGCCCCCTCCTACCGTGGGTACCCCTCGGCAGAGAATGGTATCCTCCGTTCGGCGTCGTGGCCACGTGCAGGCCAGTACCGATGAGCGATGCCGATGGGGAAGAGGCCGATGAGGGAGAAGCCAAATGAGGCTGCTGTTGCTGCTGCTGTTGCCGATAGGTGGCGGCGCGCATCGACTCGGCGCGCGTTACCGGGCGCACGCGACACGACTCGGCGCGACACACCGGGTGCTGCCGCGCGTTGGCGTACGCCAGCGCCGTCTCCAGGGCGGCATCCGTCCGTGACCGTATCGAGTCTGTTCTCGCCGGCGCTGGCGGCGGCCGGCCGACTGCCAGCCGAGGACTGCAGCAAGACGTCGCCGGCACGATCATCGTGCAAGGCGGCACGCCTAAGCCACCGCCGCCCCCGTTCCCACTGCTGTAGTTGCTGGAGCCCTGCTGCTGCTGCTGCTGCTGCTGCCGGTGGTGGCTGTGGTTGTGGCTGTGGCTGTGACTGCGGCTCAGTGACCCCGAGCTGCTCCCGGAGCGCGTTGTGCTGGGTCGGCGCTCGAGCATCGGGCCTCCGGAGGAGGGCACGTCAACGCGCCGGCTCGGCGTGTGCTGCGAGGGCGTGCGCTTGAGCGACACGTCCCGGTGAGGCACCCGCGGCGGGGTCTCGTGCGAGGAGTCCGGCGACTCGACGCCGCCGCTGCCGCCGCCGTCCACCGCGGCCACCTCCCCCCCTCTGCTCCCCACCCGCTCACCGCCCGCGGCCACGTCCGGGACGTCCTGGGGCCTCTTTGCGTGCGGCGAGAAGGAGCCTCCCCCCGCCGGTGGCGGCCGGGGCAGCGCCCATCCCGGGGAGCCGTGGCCCCCCACCACTGCGCCCTGGGGAGACTCGACCGTCGGGAAGATCGCGCCGAGGCGAACTGCCGCGCTCCGAGTCGCCGTCGCACACGTCGCCGTACAGGAAGCTGCGCCCGCGCTCCGTGGGCAGGATGAGGGCGCGCGGCACCCGCTGCGGGCAGCGCTGCAGTGAGTGGCGGTTGGAGCCACGGCCCGACGAGTCGCTGGAGCACGAGTGGCCGTCCCTCTCCTGGACGACGAGGACGCCGTAGCCCCGCGCGGCCGCGTCGTACTCGTTATTGTTGCTGCCCACGGTGGCGCTCTTCAGCTGCAGCACGGGCGTCGACTCGGGAGTCGGCAGCCCCGGCAGCTCCGGGTGCGGCGCCGGCGGCGACGTCAACGCCTCGGGGGGCTCGCGCACTCCGTTGGGCACGCGTGCCTGCTTGTCGTGTCCCGGCACCGCCAGCAGGGCCGTGCCGACGGGCGCGATCAGGTGCTGGTGATGCTGCTGCCGCTGTTGCTGCAGCGGCTCGGACTTGGGCTTCTTGCGCTGGGCGGCGCCGTCCTCGTCCTCGCAGGCGGCGCCCGTGAGGACGCCGTTTTTCTTGTGCGGCGGCGCCGGCACGCCCCGCGCGGCGGGGTGGAGGTCGCGGGGTCGCGGCGCTCCGTACGGCCGCCCGGGCGGGCTGTCCGAGGGCGCCTTGGAGTGGCGCTCGCGGCGCCGGCGGCCCACGTAGCAGTAGGTGACGAGCACGGCGAGGACTGCGCCCAGCACGAACGCCGACACCACGCAGATGGCGAGCAGCGCCGCCGGCACCAGCGAGCTGCTCTCCGCCACTCGGGTCTCGCGCACAACACCTACATCGTCGGTGGGGGGGGGGGGGGTGAGGAAGGTGGGCGGCGGGAGGGCAGACGGCGGAACGGGGGACGAGAGGGGCCGGGGGGGTCCAACGAGAAAGTGGGGGGCAAGCGACGGCGCGGAAAGTTGGCAGGGCGGCGAGGAGGTCGACAGCAGTGGCACAAGCGTGTGGGCAGGCGGAAGCGAGAGGAGAGGAGAAACGAGGAAGCAAGGACATGCGGGTCACGTAGTGGCGGCGTGGGAGAGTGAGGACGAGGGTGATGGCGCGTGTGAGATGTTGGTAGCCAAAGGCATTTACGTAACAAAAAATAAAAGTGGGGAGGAGAAGTGAGGGGGATAAAAAAGAAAAACAGATAAAAACTAAAGTTACAAATTAGAAACTAAAACAATGGAGGTGGGAGAGAAATTCACGAAAAACGAACATCAACTCTAGAGACATCAAAGACAAGAGAACACGGCCCACCTGCACATCCACTCGGTGCAGCGAAACCTGCAAATAAACAACCGCAACGGTGCCAATTACATCCCCATGTCTCCAAATGCCTGTGGAGATGAGAATGTAAGGATGTTAATGAGATGGAAGACAAGTATGTCGTGGGGCATACTCGTATAAAATAAATAAACAAATCGACAAAAGAAAACTAACAACAATTAACAACAACTTCCCAAGAGTTTTAGCGTGCCAGTACGCGTGCGCAGGCTCGCAAGGACACGCACGCAACTAAGAACATAAACAATGCGACGCAAAGGGCGTTCACAGCGCTGTGCGGTCTTGTTGCTGTCGTCGTTCCGTGATGAGCGGAGGGTAAGCACAAGCGCTCATTCAGCTTCCGTACACACACACACACGCGTACACGCACGTGTACAGCAATGTAAACTCTTGGTCTCGCAGCGTCACTGTGAACAGAAGGCAGCAGCTATGAAAACGAAAACAGGGTACAAGGAATGCATAAGCGCGTACAAAAAAACACTTGTGCTCGCACGCACGCGCGCGCACGCACGCACACACACGCACGCACACACACACGCACACAGGCAACACAACACACTGTGCCTCGCCTGACATGCAAAGCAGGTGCGCGCCCGCATACAAAGACGAGCACGCACACAAACACATGCACGTGTACGCACAAACAAAAACGGATTACGGCACCGCCGAGATGAGGAATGGGGAGTGCTGGCAAGGTTCCCAGGACGACAGGCACAGGGGGCTGCATGGGGGCGTTCCTCTCCAGCAAGCTGCTACTAACGAGTCCCCGTGGTGAGCGGGACCGTGCAATGACACACGTGCGCGCGCGTGCGTGCGTACGCACGCAAACGTGGTTTGATTGGTGGGGGCAGGGAGGGAGGGAGCGGCGGGTGGCTCGGCCCACGGTCACCCACACGCGGGCGGGCGAGGGAGGGAGCGAGCAAGTAAGTTCGTTGCCTCTCTGGGTCCTGCTTTGTGAAGAGAGAGAAGAGCGAGGCACGTTCAGAGTTGAAGCCAGGGAACAGCTCTGGTTGACTCCAAGTTCGCCGCATTGTTTAGACTTGACCTAATTTGCGCTTTTGACAGCTTACACAGAATTAGGTTTTTTTGGTGTTTTTTCCTCTTTCTTTTTCCTTCAGGTAACATCCAGGTAGCAGCCAATTTTATTTAAATTAAATAAAATCAATGAAATACACAACAAAGCTGAAATGTCAAATCAATACGGAAATGAGGCAAAGATGCGAATGCAACAAAAACACACAAACATCAAAAACTCATAGCTCAACAGATGCAAATGCAAAAAAGGGAGTTGAATTAAATTAAAATCAAGTTGCAATAACTCATGAACAGAAAGAAAGGGATGACAGCTCAGGGGTACCCGATGCATTAATGCTAATGGTGCTTGGTGGTACAGCCAAAACGAAATCCAATTAATTTTACGAAGTGCCACACACACACAACACCCGGCAAGCAGCGGCCAATGGGAGGAGCTGCTGAATTAATCAGGAGTGCAGCGCACAAGCAAGATTTGGCTTAACAAGATTGTATTGTAAGATATTTTTTTAATATTCTTGGTTCTTTCGTTAAAGTCACGTGACTTTACCGAAAGAATCAAGCATATGAATTTCTGCAGTCACGAAAGTTTTAAGTCAAAATAGATTTTGTTTTACTCTTACTTAAGTTGGCACGTTTGCACTTGCAAGTCCGATTAAAATACAGCACAGCTGCGCATTAGATTGCCGGGTAAAGTTGTAGCTGGAAAGAGTGCGACCGATTCTCTTCCGAGGTCAAGTTGTAAAATGAAAGTGGCTCTCGCACAAGGGTACCCCCCCCTTTGCAACAAATTATAACAGCATTAAAACAAAGCAAGTGTAAAATAAAAAATGCAAATTCAAGTAAAATATAATCAGGCCCTTTGAAAACTGGAGAGGAGCAAGAGGGAACATTACACTTCGTGACACTTGAATTATATTAATATGCATCGAAGCAAATTAATTAAGAAGTTCAATTGTAATACGTGTAATGCATATTACTAATATAATTGGTTTTGTGGGAACATAGATGTTAGTCAAAGAAGCCAGCATATGTAAGATTTTTAATACAAGATTCGCCTTTGGAGAAAAATGAGTTCTGTATCCCTGAGCGGTTTCATTTTTTGTGCTCATGCCGACAAGGGGTTTGAGGGTGTTTGTTGTAAGCTCTCGCAGTTGTACCCGACAACGCAGTGACCGCATTTCATTCCGTCGTGCGGAGGAATAGCCTGGTGTTCGGAAATTAAATTACTGCTCTCTGAACTCGGGTAAACATAAATATTTGAAATTTCTCCCAGCAGTCCTGACATAGCTGGAAGGTACAGTGACGTACGGAGGGGGAGGGGGGGTGATGCAGCCATCACGCGACTGTCCGAAGACATTGTGAGCAAAATCTAAATTCGGGAGACGTCCTAAGTTAATGAGCCATCTTACATAAATCAAGCCAACTTATTTTTATTTGATAATAAGAAACCTGTAATTCATATTTTAGCAGGTGATGGCAGGTGATAATTTTCAACTAATCCTTGTGGAAAAATATGCAGGGAAATGAACACTTTCAACGATAACGTTTAATCACTGTAGCCTCTGTTAAGTTTGTCTTAAGAGTCATGCACTGAGCAAGTCAAACACGAGTAACCCAAAATAGCCTCTTCACTCCTAATGAACAACGCTGCTGACCGAGCAAAAGCTGGTGCAGGCTTCGCGGTAAGGGAGGCTCAATGAATAAAATTGCCGGCAATTGATTCAAACAGCAGAAAAAAGTTACTCACCGATACCAATTTAACCGGCTTGCGGATAATCTCAAAGTAACGAAACACGTCAACTGGTTTTATTTTATAAAAATCTATCTTGCGGCACATGTATTAAAAAAACATATATCCAAAGTGACAAGTACAAAAAAATACTAAATTGAATCAAGAGACTTTTGTGGAATCTTTCTTTCTCCCTCAACCAATTTACAGCATCCCCAATTATCACGGGTGCTCCATTCCCTAGACATTCCACACCCTGGTTACAGAATCTCAGGTTTTCTCCAAAATTAATCAGCGTTGATTGGGCCTGAAAGGTGATGAGAGAAAACACACGTCTCTCAATGGCTTCTGGGTTGATTACAATTAGCCGATATTGAAGGTGGCTCTCCAGCCTCAAAGGTGACCTGGCTGCTCGCCTGAAGGCTGCCTTACCATCGGGGGGAAGCGCGCCCGTGGGCAGCGCCTCCGCAAGGTCATCGGCGTCGAGCCGGCGCCGGTCAGGGGACCAGGACCGACCGAGTGCCACCCGGCCCACATGCGGGGGCCTAAGGGGGGCCTCTGTTCCGACGGTGTCAGCGGCGGCAGCGCCATGGGCCGCCTCTGTCACTGTCGGTACAACGGGAACATCGCCCCCTCCTTGAGAGTTACGCCCGCGCTGCCGTTCTGCCGTGCGCGCACGTGTGCCCCCCTTTTACGGGGAAGGGACTCCCCGAGCGAAAGCGCTTGTCACTGGGGTGCTCGTGTGTGGATTTGTGCACGCGCTCTCACACCTTGCTAATGCTCACGGGGAACTTTGAGCAAAACTGCAGACAAATTACGGAAGGTTGGCGTACTACAAAACTTGCTGAACGAGGACACATCGAGGGACAGATTAGGATGTAGCAAGGGATGTGTTTTTTGCAAAAAATACATAATGATTTCTTATTTCTTGATTCTACAAGTAGGTAAATCATGTTTTTTTAATGTAGAAATGCAAATTATTGAAAACAGGTTGCCATGTCATGGATATTTATACTCCAGAAAGAATTGTAGGAATGAGCACAACTGCATACTGATGACGCATTTGCACAATTTATACAACAGTTCTGCACCCTCACTGTATGTCTTGGTAAAATACAAGATGCATGGACAGAAGGGCCGCCAGGAAAATGCCAAGAGACAGAACACCAACCAGAGATACACAAACGCTGATAGATGGATGTCAGGATAAATGCGTGAATGGATGAGCTCGCTTCAAAGAACAAAGCAAATCGATGCTGTTTGCCCACAGACCTGTGTCCAAATTAAAAACGCCCAAGACAGCCTCACAAAAGTCGTTACAGATGCCTTCCTGCCATACATTAGGAGCTTTAAAGTTATCTAAAAATGGTGGCTTGGGGACAGTAGTACAGCTAAGGGAAAATACATACTTCCATTGTATTCCACAAGCCCATTCTGTGAGCTACTTAAGAGTCTGAACCAATTCTCTCTCTCGACTTGGCTGTTACCATTCTCACTCGCTTTGCGTGGTCTCGGTGGAATTTGTGATGTGATGGCTACACAGCGGAGTGCATCGATGAAGATCATTGGGCCTCGGATGCAACGGGTCGGGGGCAGAAAAACGCTCCTCTCGTGTGTTTCCTGCCCAGTTTTAAAATTTAATTTCAAAACGGCGCCAAAAGATTTCGAGATGAAAACTGCTGAAGTGTCCCAGTGACACGCGATGGCAAGCCCACTGGCCACTGTACATTGCTAAGTTGGCTTCATCCACTGAATGAAAGAAATTTGACAGCAGGGACAGCTGTTGAAACTGAAAACTCTCTTTCGCGTGGGGCTGTATGCTCTCCCAGGCCGCTTGGAATGACGGCGGCGGGTAACCTCGGCAATGACTCGACGTCAAAATAGACTTGTTGCAGAAACCCACTGACCAAACACACAAAAAAATCTAATATTAAAGAATAAACTGCCTTGAAACGATCCCAAACCATATTTAACCACTTAAAATAATCAATGGAGCACTTCAATGCAACAGTCCGTGCGAGGCCTAAAAGCTACCGGACAAACCTGACAGGTAAGGCCGTGTGTCCCCCCCCCCCCCCCCCCCCGTTGTTGCTCATAAATGCACGGGTCCGTTTCGAGACCACTGCTGTCAGCGCAAGGAAAGATGGGAGGTAACATCCATCTCGTCAAGCCGTGTCACGCGAGCCGTTTGGAAGGTAGCCAAGTACACGGTCATAGTCTTCACACTATCCCATTCATACCCTCTGCCCCCAGAAAACTAATCCCATTACTAGTGCCACTTGTCAGCCAGCCAAAATGCGGTCGTGTGGTAGAGGGGCGCGGGTGGGGAAGAAGTGCAGGCAGCATGGAGTATAAACGCTCCTTCATCTTGGAAGGTGGGTGGAAGGTGGGTGGGAGGTGGGTGTTGGGGGAGGAAGACCATCTTCACTGGGCAGGTTGCGGTGTAAGAACATCGCCTGCTCGGAGGGTGTGAAATCCAGCGCAGTGCAATAGATTATCACGGCAATATCCGAAAACGCCTCGGGTGGTCTTTGGTTTTAGCGGCACTGCCGGATGAGTTGTTAGCGGCTGTGCGGGAAGCGCAGATGTTCCGTGCGCTCACAAAAAAAAACGAGGACATCAAGTTCCTCGGGCACTCTAGCAAAGCTTCAGGGTTGTAATTTAGAATTTCCTTTTGCTGCTTTGAATGTTGTTGTAGAGACTCATTGTGGATGAGTCAGGCTCAAAACAAACCTGGTATACCACTTTCTGAAACTGCAGGGGTTGCAGACCAACTTAATGAATATCCTTGAGATTGGGTAAAGGATTAGGCCGAATAAGCCTGGAGTAAAATACAAGTAACGATTAAATTATGTACTATGGACCACAACAATAATGGGTTTATTTTTCAGCAAAACACATCTTCAGAGCATTTTTGTTGCTTAAAAATAGATCAAAAGTAGACCTGTCGGTGAAATAGTAACTATTTAATGTTTTCGTTTTTTTGTGTGGGAATGAAAATGAATAGCAACAATGTGTCAGTTTCCAGCCCCTCTGTAAGCAGAAGAAAAGCCCGATAACGCGATTTGCATGGAGAGGAAAGAATTAGGGAACAAAACGGAAAAACAGAAGAAAGACGAAGCTGCTGCTGACAAATGGAACAGGAGCGTTAGGAAAACACTGCGGAAGAAGCTTTTGTAAATGCTTTGGAAGTGACAACAGTGGCTTGGGGAGGGCACAATGCAGCAAGGGTCAATATGCAACACCAGGGAGCACACACATTTGTATAAGTACACACAAGAGCTCACGCACGTACATGTGCACCGGGCACAAACACACACACACACGTTCGTGCAAACACACACGGCATGCAAAACACACATCAATTTGCAAAAACACGCGTGCACACACGTGTGCGTAAGGGCGAACACGCACAAACGAATGTACCCCCCCCCGCCCGTGCTCGTACCGCTGCGCACGCACACAGATGCACCTCAACTCAGGGAAATGACATTTTCACACGCTGGCTCACACTCTCTGCACTCTGAATAGACGGGGGGCAGTTTCACACACACAGTGCTTTTCCAGGCCCCATGCTGCGGAGCAAGCACAAAAGGAGCCAAAAACTCAGTGTCAATGCCCCGGCTGCCCCTCCCCTCAAATCCACCTCACACTCCCACACTCCCAAGCAATTCCTACTCCCACCCCCAGCATGTCCATCTTCAGATCAATAACAGATATCTCTTGCTACCCACCTACTCAAAACAAAACCCTAACCCCACTCGCCCTTGCATTGCCAGCCGAAGTGATTGGTGCACAAGCTGTTAATTGGTGTTAAGTTTTGGTGCCACTAAATGTCCATTCTTTCTGTGTGAAATAAAGTATGAACACCTCTAGGGCTAGACGAGCAGAATCACACTTTTCTCTTTCCCTTCAGGCAGTCAAAAAGGGCAGCATTTTCAGCGTGAGCATGCAAATTGTGAGCAACTGCAGAGCAAATAGGTGGTGCGTACAAACACAACTTTGATATGAGCCTTGAAGGCTTGTAAGTGTACAGCATGAGGCACCGGCTTGGTCAAGCTGCAGTAGCTGCAAGCTCCCACTTTGCAAGTTAGTTAAGGCGTGTGGTTAAATTGAGCCCCACACATAGGCAAACAACTCATTGCAGATTTGCTTCAATGTACCACAAAACTAAAATAAAGTGGCTTATTTGTTTCAGTGATTCTTTGCGACGTCCCATCAGCAAAAAGTGCCCCTAAGTAGGTACGCCATGCCTCAACGTGCAAACTATGAGCATGCAAATCGTTTGTGAAAAATACTCACGTGGGTTCAGGATCGGGTTCTACGGGCTTATCCTTTCTCCCCCCTCCCCCTAAAAAAGCCACCCTCCATGAAGGGATTCCCCCCCCCACACACAGATATCGTGGGCGGCTGCTAAAGCTCGCATTCTCCGCCCCAGCAATGACCAGACTCAGTGCCCGTCCCTCCCACACGAGCTCAGCTAGTCAATGGACAGGTCAAGGGGTCAAGCCGTGCAAAAAGGTTTTGAGGCCAGACAATGGGCCATCAATTCCACCATCGTTATGGCAACCGAGGTCAAAGGTGACCCAGCAAAGATTGATTAGACCCAGTTGCGGGCAAGCCTTTAGGTGTGCTGTAGTACTGCACTGCTTTAAAATCAGCTTAGTGCTTTATCGCCTTACTTACATTTAAAATGTCAAGAGAAGTCTCTTATATTGTTATTGTAACTCATAATAAAACTAGAATGATTTTTTTGCCGTAAAACAATTCCTAGACATCTTTAACCGCTTAAGGCCTCCGGTTACACGGCTCAGGTTATTTATTATGTTAAAGGCTCTGCAGAAAAGCGACTGTCATTATGGACCAATGGGCAGACAGCTGCTTCTGAATACTCCACTTACGGCGGTTTTAAAGTTGCCCATTGCCAGCATTGTGCAGATGAGCAGGCGATTTCAAGGGCAAGGTTACCTCTGGCAAAAAAAAAACAGCTTGGACGGCAGATTGAGTTGAATGCCAAATGCCACCTGAGCTTTAGACAACACAGCATTGGGCAACCTTGGACAGCTACTGATACCTGCAACTCAAAACCAGCTCGAGCGCCACTCGCTCTGCACCCCACACCTTTGTGCTCACATACCTTCACGGTCGACTCTTCCTCCGCGTTGCCCTCTGCTGCCCTTCTCCTCTATCCTTCCACCTCTCACCACCACGTAGACCCACCCGAAAGGTCTTCAACCTCTTTCAAATTTGTGCGCACCCTCAACCTCCCCCATCCAAAACCCATCCTCTCCCGAAAGGCAACAGCCTAAAACTATAAATGCGTCGAGCTACAAGGCTGCAGCCAATCGACCAAGCCCGGTCTCCCAAGCGCGACGCTTTATGGTAAAATTATGCTCATGCTCCCAGGAGGGAAAATTATTTTGAAATACATTAAGTCGGGTGTAATGGCAGACTAGCAGCACTCACTCGTGACCTCGTTTGCTGGCACCCTCTGCGGAGTAAGGAGTTTTCCCATGACAAATGTGGCTTTTTATACAATTAAAAAAAATCCACAAAAAATTGTGGGCACTTTGGTTCCCTTCCCCCTCAATTGACTGTAGAAATAAAGCCATATTGTCATCCTTGCACGAGACACACCGTGTGAAACACCACGTGGGAGCTCGGTAAGTGTTTACTGCCAATGGGTTTCACCTCTCTCATGCCTTCCAATAACACAAAACCATCTGGTGTGTTGTGTGGAGGTGTGGAGTGCAAGGTGAGCAGGGAGGCAGGTTTTAAAAAAAATATTTAACAAAGAAGATTGGCCTGGGTAAACTACAACAATTAGTATTAATTTTGTCAAAATAACCCCTTTGTATTTTTTTGGGAAACCAATTCTATGCATAACAAAAGGAACTATGACAAATTTTACTTCCACTGAAGTGTCGTTACAGGTGAGTGTAGCAATATAACCTTGGTATATATTTCAAGAGTTGTCCAATTTATGCTGAATACAAATTTGTTTCCCCAGCCAGAAAAGCTGACAAACTGGGTCACTGTAAAGCCAAAATATCCCCATCAAAAAAATAAACCACACCAATTTAACAATTATTCACAATGTTCTAAGAGATGGAATTGCTTGGCTGCAACACAATTAGTGTATTTTCTGCTTTCAATTTCTTTTAAAATCAGCCCATTATCCCTATTTTTGTTAACACTATTATTATTATGTCAAGCAGGACATTCTAGTGGACAGTGTGGCTCTGTCTGTTTTCAGAGATCGTTGCTTTAAAAACATCAATACTCTCTCCCATGATAATGAGCTGCTGGAACATAATCAAATACACATTACGTCTGCTAATTCGTGCGGACATAAAAAGCCCATGGCAATTGCAACAGTAAGCCATTGTGTGCTGGTGTCACAGCCCAACTTGAAGAATTATCCACAATTACTGAACTGCCCTTCCGTCAATGCTTTCGAGGGCTCCGTCACCCCCGTGTGTTGAGCTACCGAACAGACGACCCTTGCGAAAAGACACGACGTTGATGATGACAACTACGACAATAACAAAGGCGATGAACATGGCACATTAATTATGGACACCGTTCCCACTACCTCACAATTAACGTGGCATTTGAAGGCATAATTTAACTGTGTACAGACCACATCACACAGTAAATGCCTCCCCTTTCTGCTGTGGCCTCTCGTCTCTCGCTCTCTCTGGCCCCATAGAAATCACCATTTAACACGGGCATCGATACAACGTTCGCCTGAAAACCGCCTCCAGTGCTCGACAAACTGCATTCTGCCTTGAACCTTGGAGCGAGCATAATGCTGCTCGCAAGGGTACCCTTCCCGTGGGTGTCTGCCTCGTGTTTTGTCGGTGCGCGTTGAGCGAGGTCTAACTTGTGGCTCCGGCGCGAAAGCAAGGACGCTCGCTCACAGCAATGAATGTGAGCAAAGGCAGGCCCATCAATTCGTAGACAAAGAAGGGGACCCAGTGTATGGGTATCTAATGTAGTATTGTAACCCAAATGGTACCAACAGTCCTGACTAATACAAAGGCAGGGCACAGTTGCATGTCATATATTGTGTTGAACACAATGAAAAGAAGGGCATGTCTTATTTGTCTGCGGTATAGAGATTGGATGGTATGAGGGAAATCATTCAGTTTTTTATTTAAAATTGTAAAGCTTGACGTTGCAAAACTTTACATTTCAAAACTGAATTTTCCATTCAAATTAAAACTCTTGGAATGTGGTTCTAATTAACAAGGTTTACACCTCATGTAATTAAACACTCAAATCGGAAACTATTAAAATATGTGCGTGTCCTCTTGCCATTTTCTTTGACTGGTGTAAAAAGCCACAGGTTATTTATATTATTTAATATCATTGGAGCACCTTGGACCACAATCCAGAGCTCGTTGTGCTCAGCCCCAGGGTGAGTGGGCAGCGGGTTGCCAAAGGGGGTGTGCCGTTGAACAAGCAAATTCCAGCTTTCGTTTTGGTAAACATTCGGATGAGTTCTCTACTTTGAAGTTCCTTTCCCATGATGAGTTTTCGACCAGGAAATCACTCGCCAGCCCAAACAAGAGGCTAAATAAAGAGTGCCAGATGACAAATCAATTCAGTCACACCGAGTCCAAATCCTACAAGAGTTATACATTGTGCACGAGCATAATTATTGTCCCTTTCATTTTCCTTTTCACCTCAAAAAGTGCTAAACTTTGCGAAAACGCTTTGGTAAGGTGCTTGCTAATAAAGGTGGTGGCCTGCCAACATGCACATCTGAACATTCTGTGACATTCTTTCAAAGGAAACGTATTCCAATTTCAACTGGTAAGTACCAGTGCCCCAAATCATAGCACTTAAGGCGAAGCGAAACAGAAGGCAAGAACATACAAAAATTATTATTACAAAGCGAAGAGAAATTATGTGACGATATTAAGGAAAATTGTGAAGTAAAAACACACGGGCTTTGCCTTACGTGTGTTTCCATGTGCATACAAACACGCACAGCTACGTACATGTACAGATGCATACACACCCGTGTTTGTGTGTGTACACACCTTACGTATTATGGGTTCTCTCAAAGGCTATTAGGATTAAGCATTTTGGCCACGGTTGTATTCTCAGGGCCAAATACATTAGAGGTAAACGGGGCCGTCTGTCAAAAGGGTCAAGAAAACCCACTTAAGGTGAATCTTTAATGAGGAATAGTTTTTGGTGCAGACACACACGGTGTTACCATAATGGCCCCAAACAAAAATGTTACCAGCTTTACACAGCAGGAATCGACACGACACTGCAACCTTAGGGATTTTCTAGCCTCCAGCAGACAGAGATTACACGCAAATAAATGCAACGTTAACACAAACTACGGCGTTCATTGTAATTGTTTTGGTTATCGGCTTGTTTCTGTATGTAATAAACGTAGATGATTTCGGCTATTTGCGTGCTCTTTTTTCCCCCGCTTGCAGTCACCGCTTGATTAATTTAGAGTTTCCGTCAGGAAATGAGCATGCTGGGATGGGAATACTTCCTCCTCTTCTAACACGCACACTCCTTGCCCCATTTACGTGATTGTGCACACACGCACAGGCACTGCTTGGCAATGGCAGTCAGGCATCTATTTGGGCAGAATTGAAGTCTTGCCAAAAAATGGGGTAGTCTGCGGAGCGGTGAAAAATATGACTAACAGATTTCAATTTAGTTGGACGTGAACCAGTTATTGTCATTTCAAAATGCTGTGTGCTTGTAAAATTAACTACATTCTATTAAATGGCATTAGCGCTCACACACATTTTCCAAGGCCTCGTTAATGCGTGCGTTGGTGCACGTAATCCAGATTGTGGCGAGGGGGCTGTGCGGTGAGTGGGGAGGGGGCAGTGGGGGTTTAGCGTGTGGGTTTGGGTACTCGCCAAGTGGCAAGGAATGAAATAAATAAAATTTTAATAATATGGGAAGTTTTCTGACCTTGGCAATCGGCCATCCCTTTCGTGTCACCAAAGTCCACATCCTGCTCGTAGAGATCCCTGCGAGGAAGAAAAACACAAAAAACGCCACAGTCGCGCCGCCGGAGGCTCATTCACGAGAACAACAGGAGCTGGTTTTTCACGTCTTAAAAATCCCGCCGCTTATTGTGCGGTGCTCCACGGAAAAACGCCGGAGCGTTTGAAAAGGCACCGCAGAGTGCGCCAGCATTCACTCCCGGTGGCTTGCAATTAAAACAAGCGGCCCACTTACTCCGCACTTGCCTTTCATTACTGCACACACACACATACACACAAATTGGCTGAATGTATTACAGGGACGCTCTTTTTGCCTTGATATTAATTTCTACGAAACACATTTTTTGTTTGATAATTGCATGTATGAATGACATCTTAGTGACCGAATTTATCTGTGTGTGGGGAGCGGTGCCATAATGTTTAGCGCAAGGTACTATGAACCCAGTGACCCAAATTGATTCCTTCTAGATTTGAAGCTTTCGTGACTGCAAGGATTTATACTCTTGGGTTTTTTTCTACGTGACTTTACCGAAAAAACCTAAGAGTACGAATTGATTCCTGACCACATTGGTGACCGATATCTGAACCAGTCCTGGACCCTCTCCGAGGTCAACTCAGCCTTAAAATGAGTACTGGTTTCCCTTGCTTTATGCGGGTTCGGTTTGTGCATATTTTGCCTATATGCGGCTAACCTATTTCCACCAAAAATTCGCTCTATGCGGTTTGAATTAACTCTCCATGTGGCTATGTGGTCAGACGTGGGACAACACTGTGTGTGTACTGTGCGCGCTACTCGGTAGGCAGCTGTCCCCTTGTGCGGTTTCTCTTTGTGCACCCTTTTATTGGAATGTGTCTACAGCATAAAGTGAGGGAAGCCTGTACCTAGTGTAGTGGGTAAACCACAATGGGCAAAGGCGGCTGGGCATGGTGCTGTCCATCCACCCCATCGTGTGCTGTGCTGGCATTCATAGCAGCTCACAAACAACACTCGTCTCAACAGTCAGTTTTTTTTTTAGTATTTGGAGATTTTTTTGGCACCAACAGTCTGTTAAAGGCTACATGGGGGATATTTTCACATGGTCTTACCATTCCAGGAACCTGGATTACATTCCCGGCTATCAATAACACCTTTGGCAACTAGCAACAATCTGTCTTAGAGCTCCCATAATTAATTTAAGGCTTAAAATTTGTACTCTGTATAATGTGTAAGCATTGGCACGGCGCAAAAAAAGGTAGCCGAGTGTGTTGATGAGCATAGCATCCTCTTTTATGACATTCTGACATTCACAGGTGATCGCTAACGGCACTCGACACAACATTTGGGAAATCTCTGTATGTGTGCGGTTGGGGAGAGGAATTCAATAAAGGCTGTGTTTTGGTTGCAGTGGCCACAGCACTACAACTGAACCAATGATGTGGGTCCAATCCCAAAAGGTAACTGCCTCGGGTGTGTGGCTTTTATAGGTCAACACAACCTAAACTAAGTGCACTGTGAGGTGTATTGACACAAACCACCGGATGAAAAACAAAAGAGCAGTCGCGTGTAGTTATGTTTCCACATACCCAACCCGCATGGAGCCAGCTGTAATTTGTGCTCACTCAAAAGAACTTCCGACAACGACTTAGGCAGTTTAAACAATAGGAAATTTAGCTAAATGTAACCAGAGCTGAGAACGGGTCTTGGCGGTTGGGTTGGGTTGGGTTAGCCGAGGTTTTCCACAGACCAATTACAAACAACGCACCGTAAACGAATCCGGTGGGAACTTCCGTAGACAAACAAGTAGTGCTGACTTAACAAGCTGCCGCGCGTAGAACTTGCCATTAAGTTTGCTGACGTCGTGCAAACTGCCGGCGGAGCAAGGCTGACCTCTGACACGCTCTGGCAGTGTGGCTACAACTTTCTCACAGCTCTTTCAGCACAGGTTTTTTTTTTCGTTTTAGCTGCTTCGCAAATGTTGGTGGAGCCATCCAAGTGGCTGGTACACTGGGTTGTTCACTCGGGCTGGCTGCATCGTCGCTAACGGGTGAGAACGCGCTCACTGGGGAGAAGCAATCGACATCATGCGAAGAGCTTAAATGGGCCGTGACGTCAACGGCATCGAACTTGCTTGGTCTTACCGGACATCAGCGCACCTGTACACGCAAGCTGCTCTGCATTCGTTTGGCTTGTGCGTTTGACTCAATGTCAAATGACGCTTGCTCCGTGAATTTCTCAGTTCAAGGTGATCTATTTTAGCCACGTACCGTGGCCTCTGATTTACCCGCAATCAAGCAATGATTAAATTACCAGGATAATTAATTGAATGCGCTACGGAAGTGAATGTTAAAGAGAAAATGTATCGGTTGAAAGACACCCAGGAACTGTGACCACTGAACCTAACAGGCCATCTCTTTTCCCCACCCAATAGTCTAAATGAAATTTAAAATGTCAAATCAAATCTTGACTTAAAGCTTTCGTGACTGCAGGAATTCATATTCTTTGGGTCTTTCGGTAAATTCACGTAGAAAGGTGCGAAGAAATAACAAAATACGACATTTCGATCGCAACACAATCGGTCGTCATTAGGAAAAGGGGGTGGGGGGGGGTGCTGACGACCGCTTGTGTTGCGATCGAAACGTCGTAGTTTTTTGTTATTTCTTTGAACCTTTCTACGTGACTTTACCGAAAGACACAAAGAATATCATCCAAATCAATCAAGGAGCATAGGGGACTTTCAAATAGCTGCCATAGTCACTCAGCTCATGACAGCCGAAATAAAAAGCTTATTGGTGCTTATTATGAAAACACACAAATGCACCGTTGCGTTATCTTTCCTCGCCAGCTATATTTGTTTTAGCGGGAACGGTCTGTGTACGCTGGATTGCTGCCAGCCCGAGGTGCCGTTAATCTGACGTGGTTGAGAGATTTTCGTTAGGAACTTTTTCTGCGAAAATTGTAAAGAAAACAGACACAAAAGTGTCCCTGAAAAGCAAAACGGAAATAAAACAAACAAGCACACACAGACACACAAAGAAATAAATAAAATGTCCGCAGAAACGACAAGCAGGCACGCACGCACTGACGGGGACATGGGTAGATAACTGTATGCACACACACGCACAAAGACCAAGATTCCCCCGTATAGCCTTGAGCTGATTGTTGGGGCATGTGCTGTTAGCGAGTACCTATTAAGGCCAGCACGGCACATGCGAGGGTGGGGGGCCAGCACCACGTATGGCCTCCTTTGTCTCCCCAGTGCTGATGTTTTCCATACCAAGTAATAATTTGAGGCTGAGTCGACCTAGGGGAGGGCCCAGGACCAGTTCAAATAATTATCCCTGATTTTGGTCATGAGCAGAAATTGAACTCGGGTCACCGGATTCGAAGCGCAGCGCGCTTATCGCTACACTACCGCTCCCCACACAAAACATGCTCCACATACACACACACATATTGCTACCAACTACTCCGTTTGGTTCTTCTGAACATGAATCCCTGAACTTGGACTCAATCCATTAAATAAAATGTGAAGGGCAAACATGTATAAGCATGTAGATAAACAAGATTTGGCTTTTACAGAAGTACAAACCAATATACTTAAGGGAGCCATTAAATGCAGACTACCAGGGAAGATAACGGTGAAAATAGATTGAAAGTATCCCAACTGGCTTGTATTGCGAGCATAATTCGTTCCGGAAACGTGTTTTAAATCCAAAGCACTCGTATATCAAAGCATTCGTATATCAGTTGTGATCACGTGACGCTCGGCAGACAAAGCGTATACACGTACTACTCGTATTGCAAGGCCTCGCTCGTTTATCAAATTAATAATTATTTAAAAATTTGCTCGTCTTGCAAAACAAACGCAAGACCAAGTTACTTGCAATCCAAAGTTTTACTGTATAGCCTTTATGTATTATTGGGGCACATTTCACGAGTGAGTACCTATTCAGGTTTCCAATCTGCAAAAGTAAACGGTGTGGCCAGCACCACGCCCAGATAAATTTGTATCCCAACACTGGTGTTAAAAACAAAGGCAAAGCTCCCCCGTATAGCCTTAAATACTGTTGGGACAAGTGCTGTTAGCGAGCACCTTTGAAGGCCGGCTAGGCATACGAGGGGGTGGGTGGCCAACTTCACGTTCTAACATAGAAATGAACATATACACACACACACAAAAAAACTAACGCATACACACACACTTATACAGGAGAGCACAAAGAGCCATGGCCTTGCTATATTATTTGTTACCATACATTCCACCTTTCAAATCTGCAGCAGTCTCCCAACAGGGCCGAAACAATGAACTAAAGCGGAAATCAGGGGCACATGGACAAGTGAGACTACGGCATTAAACAAGGAATTGTCTGAATTCTATGCGCATTTGGTGATGTTCATCTCCACCGGAAGTCTTCAACTCTGAAGTTGAAATTCCACATTCCTTTGGTGGGTAACAGTTTCTTCACAAGACGACCACGATTGACATCCTATAAATTGGTACATCTTTTATTGACCTCGGAAGGATGATGAGCCAAGTTGCCTGCAGGCCGACATTTTACCTCGTACAGTTTTTATACTTTGAATTACATTGAGAGAAAGCAAAAATAACACGTGGATTGGATTTTATTTTATACCTACGTGACTTTACCGAAAGAACCAAAAAGTATAGGTCAAAGATAATTTAGGCTAAACCAAAACTAAACTTTTGATTTAAAGCTTTCGTGACTGCAGGGATTCATATTCTTGGTTCTTTCGGTATGCCCCACTGAGCTATACAGCTTTTTGTCAGAAGCGACCTGGCCACAAATGACAGCTCAGTGAAGTGGCTTATCCATGAGGAAATTTACAGCAGCCAAATATTCTTCAACGCACGTTTCTAAACTTAAACTAGCAAGTGGGCTTGGGCAGGGCCCATCAAGTGAAGGGACGACTGTCAGCGGTAAAGAAAAATTACGGTGTCGCGGCCAAGAAATTAAACGCGTCCGAGAGGACATCTACCATGGAGATCAGCTCGTGTCCAGGTGCAAGCTGGATTAAATACATTGATCATGAGTTTCCACTTTGAGTCACTGCATCTACCCAGCTGGAATAAAACAGAAGAAGCTCTGCCCATAGTAGTGAGACCTTCATTAAGCCAGTGGGCAGAGAACGGCTGCTGGTGGCACAGACAAATTCTCCATATGCAAGCCGTCTGTTGTATAGCAGCTGGCTGGGGCAGTTGCTCTCCCTGGATTAACTTGGCTGAAGAGCAGCCAAACGCAAGGACACCGAGAAACAAAGAAAAAGGCATTGTACTCTATTGCTGAGGGCCGGTTGGCAACCGAGTGTCAGGAAGGGTGAACAAACATCACTGTTCATGTGGGAAGCCTGCAGATGGACGGAGAGGCAAGTGCTAATCAGCGCCGTTGGGAAATCCTCGGAAGCCCTAGCTCGTGTGATTGAGTTATGCACAGCGTGGAGGTCTGGCAGAATTTCTGACAAATGTCAATAAAATGTGGTAATGAACTAGTGGACCTGAAAAATAAAAATATGAACACTGTTCCCCAGAATAAATACAGCAGGTCACGTATTTTGCAAGCAGCAACATTGATTAACGCTTTGTGAACAGGAGTTGGGAGGTTCGGCAGATCTCTTTTGGCATCGGTGAAAGTGTATTTCAGAGATCGACATTCGGTATAGAAGAGAGTGTGTGGGTTTTGAAAGTAGGGGGGAGGCCCGTGGACTGTGGGTGTGTTTAAAAACGATGAGAACTTGTCTGCTTTCACACTCACTAATTGCTTGTGCTTTCAAGATAAAAGAAAGAGACGAACAGTAAACAAAAAAGCACTGTTACTTTCACACCCATGTCACTCCTTTCCATTTTTAATCTGTTTGTATAAGTCTCTACTTTTTGGCAGCAGAAAAATGCAAGACTAAACTCTATGCTGCCAGGTAGTGATGTCAGGCAGCTTAGCACAGCTGTCAGGCTGTACTGTGAAGAAAGAAAATAACCATACAGATCTACAAAATCTTAGAGATTCTCACGTAGCATTCATAACAGTGCCTGCAACTTTATCATTATCGCCAACACAAATTACAAGCATGACATCTCCCCTATTATCCTCGAAAATAATTTGGTTCAAATTAATGGTGGACAAAACAATTGTGTCGTGATCGCTCTCGGCTCAAAGTGACGTTGCGTTTAAAAGGACAGGGGAAAGTCTTAGGTAACAACGTCTGTTGTGGTGGGAAGCTTTTCTTGCAAGGTCACCCCGAAACAAATTTAATTTTCACAAATCCATCTTAACTGGATCTCCACCACGGTAGTCCGCACGACTCCCTCCATCCTTCTTGGCGGCAGATGCGACCTTGGTGATCCGCCTTTGCGGCACTTTTGGAGACAAACAATCTAACAAAGTCACTCTTTCCGCATCATCACACTAACCCACTGTAAGTTATAAGCCGTGTCCCTACCTCTGATCTATTACTATGCTAACTGTTTGACATGTGGTCCTGCCAGTTTAGACTGGGATCATGTGAATACCAAGGCTTTTTGAAAAGTACCCAAGGTTGTATTGTTCCTGTTTAAGCATTGACCTGCCTGTGATTGCATTCGTGTGCTAATGGTTTAAATATGCTCCACTCAATCCATAATGATTTTCTTGTATTCCCAGACATCAGCCATCCAATTGCTTGCAAACGATGCTGCTGTATTGCGTGTAGATTTAGCTCAACACATGCACCTCAAGATGAAATCAATGCTGCTGCTGTTTAAGTTCAAGACTTTTACAAACTCCAATCAACTTCACTATGGGGACCTCATTTGCCAGTAAAAATATGATAATTGGTTCTTTACCCTTCTATCTGGCAACAAAACTGACACCTTTTGCAAGGAGTCATGTTTGCATAGACCGCAATACCTGCAGTCATAATACAAACAAAAGAACATAACTCTGATAATGTGCACTGTCCTTGAAGTTGATTGGTCCACACCCGAGACAGCTTTCCTTCGAGCCTAGTCTCATATGGGTTGGACCAGATGACGCCAAAAGGCGCACAACTCAAGGACAATGCACCATCAGAGTATGGGAGCTCGGGGCAAGCATCTACACTATGGGGACCTCATTTGCCAGTAAAAATATGATAATTGGTTCTTTACCCTTCTATCTGGCAACAAAACTGACACCTTTTTGCAAGGAGTCATGTTTGCATAGACCGCAATACCTGCAGTCATAATACAAACAAAAGAACATAACTCTGATAATGTGCACTGTCCTTGAAGTTGATTGGTCCACACCCGAGACAGCTTTCCTTCGAGCCTAGTCTCATATGGGTTGGACCAACCCATATGAGACTAGGCTCGAAGGAAAGCTGTCTCGGGTGTGGACCAATCAACTTCAAGGACAGTGCACATTATCAGAGTTATGTTCCTTTGTTTGTATTATGACTGCAGGTATTGCGGTCTATGCAAACATGACTCCTTGCAAAAAGGTGTCAGTTTTGTTGCCAGATAGAAGGGTAAAGAACCAATTATCATATTTTTACTGGCAAATGAGGTCCCCATAGTGTAGATGCTTGCCCCGAGCTCTCATACTCTGATGGTGCATTGTCCTTGAGTTGTGCGCCTTTTGGCGTCATCTGGTCCAACCCATATGAGACTAGGCTCGAAGGAAAGCTGTCTCGGGTGTGGACCAATCAACTTCAAGGACAGTGCACATTAGCAGAGTTATGTTCTTTTGTTTGTATTATGACTGCAGGTATTGCGGTCTATGCAAACATGACTCCTTGCAAAAAGGTGTCAGTTTTGTTGCCAGATAGAAGGGTAAAGAACCAATTATCCAATCAACTTGTGCAAATCCCAACGTGCAGTCCTATTAGCATGTTTTATCATACACTTTTTGCCTTACCTTACAAGACTTAAATCCTTCTTTTTAAAGCACAAATGTAAATTTCACATAAAATAATTTAACTCAGGATTGTAAAACTAAGCCATTATAACCAACCGCCCATGCTTACCAAATATATGAAAGGGAAAAGTCCTGCCATGACTGGATTGTCTGTATTTGTTGCCACTTTAAAAAAAATACTTGGGTAAAATGTGAACGTAACACATCAGCGGAGGTAATCTGTATAATAATACAATAATTTACAGCTATTTGTTAACCCACTGCTGGAACACAGTCCCCTCTGTCGCTAACAGATCTCCCATTCCACAAACATCACCACACAAAGCACTGCTCCGTTTAGTTAGGAAGCCCTCGTTGAGGAGGTAAGAACCCAAAAATGATAGCAAATCTCTTGCAAAGGAGACATGGGATTTAACAAAAATAAATATTCATTGGGGCAAGAAGCAACAGCCAATGCCAAATGAGTTTCCTGAAGCAGTGCCGAGAAAGATGGGCAATCTAAATGGTGAACTTCCAACCCAGAGGCGAGCACACAAACCACTGAAGCACCCTGGCCACCCACTCTAAAAAAAGACACAAACGCAGAGGAGACCTTGTATTGGGTGGCCCCTGATGGGCTAAACGCAGACAGGCAAATAAATAAGCCACAGTTCATTTGGCTGAGACACCAACACACAGAGGCCTATGAATTACTCGACCGACAAGGTCGCTCTGTAGCCATTGTCCTTGCGGAAGTTCTGTACGATAAAAAATAAAAGTAAAATACAAGAAAGCACAATAAATAAATAACCCCCACCACTGCGGATGTACCTGACTCCCTGGAGAAATTTATCATTAGCGGACACAAAAGGCGCTGTCCTAATTGTTTTGGGGAAACAGTTCTGTACCAGAGGCGACAGTCCATAAATTAAAATAATGCCAACGCGAGGCAGCTAATGCGGAGGAATGAAAAGCAGTGCAGGCTCACGATGACAAGCCCATTGATTAGTCTTTATCGCCATAATAAATCAATTACAATGTTTCTAAATTGCTTCATTATTAAGGAGATTGTTTTTTTTCTCCACCAAACACCGATGTCCATAAAGTACGTTCGTTCGTTTTTTTTCCCCTCCCCATTTTTCACACGTCCACAGTCGAAGAAGCGATTTGACCGCTTGGTGATTAAAGAAAATGGCTAAGACGGCGGTGATACCCACGCGAATGTGTTTCCCGGGTGTCGATGCACCCAGAATTAACGGCGCTAATTAAACGCACTCACGTCGTGTGCGAGATGATTCGGGCGCAGGAGTCGTCCTGCCAGCCGCAGTACGGGTCGCGTGCCGCTATGCAGTTCCTGATGCACGACCGGGGCAAGGGCACACACGCACACACATTTTTTTTTAACAACTATCACAAAATATTCAATACTTTGAAAGTCATTCTCAGATATGAAACGTATAGCACAGTTGTCTCAATAGGTTTCGAACGTGACTGAAGAACAAAAAAAAGCGCAAGACCGTTTTATAGGTGAAATAAATAAAAAGGCACCAAAGTGTGACTTGGGGGAAATACACGAGAGTACAGGGAGCGTGGTCGGTGAAAAAAGACATCAGCACACGGGCAAACAACACACTCTTGTCTCAATAACTTGATAATGGAAGCAATTACAGCTTTTTAATATATATCTATATTTAGCAAGCCTGTATGTGTTAGGTCATAAATCCTATCTTAATGGAAAAATTCTTAAATAATTAACTTTTACATTAAGGGGTCATCTAATTAAAAGTTTGAACAATGCTTGTGTGCGTGGCAAGGTGAAGTGTAAAGCTGGGAAGTGGTCGGGGAGGCGAGACAATGAAAAAGGTAACTGGTTGCATCTTGACAGTCCGCGTGATCACCAACCTTCCCAGAGCCCGCACCCCCCCCCCCGCAAACCCCTCCCGCCCCCCCCCCCCCCACCCTCCTGCCAGCTCCTCAGCCGCACGTAGCATCTCAAACATCTCCAGACTCCCCCGCCGAAGCCAGCGACCCTCACGGCACTTGGAAGTGGCGCGAGAGGAGCGAGATGTGAAAGGTCTGCAGGCTTATTGGGACTCTCCCAGCCCCCAGCTGGGCGTGCAAAAAACTCATTGTCCGAGGCTCAAATGGCAGCCAAAGTAGGCAGACGTGGGTCATTTTGAGGGAAAGCTCTAACTGGGGAAGGTGAGGCTGCAGATGGGGAAGGGGGTACCAACTCAGGCAGAAGCTTCCCCTTCAGAGGACTACACATCCACCGATGTATCACGCCCGCACCTGCCGTGCTTTAATTGCAGTCTGCGTTACACGCAGGTGCGGGGGGTGTGGAATTAACTGGAGCGTGCCATATGGCATGCAGAGAGGGCATCAAATCACATTGGTGCTGGTGCTGACGCCGGTTGGCAGGAATGGCACTTTGTAGCTACTGTCCACAAAGACTGCTGTGATGTGTAGGTAGAGGAGGTCATCGACTGGAGTGCGCTGCCTCATTGAGAGAGGCATGCTTGAATCGCCACAACCGCAATATGAATGTTGGCCGTTTTATTTGTGGAGATCGGGGCGTGGGAATGGTACGGCTCTCTATTGATATGCTGTCAGGCAGTACAGCTCATCTTCAACACGAGGTTGAAAACCTTTGGCCTATGGGCCTCATGCTATTTAACGAAACGGTTGACGGGCCAAGTGAATGGAACAACGATTTTCAATTTAGAAGATGCTCATTCTCTGATTAGAAAAAGTCAAGTTCATCTTATTTCCATTCTTAATCAATACATGCTTGCTAAAACATGCATGCAGGGTCTTTTTTAGAGCGAGGCACTAATGAAAAATATTTCATCCCTGACTGGGGCGTGCAGATTAATTTTAAGTGATGATTAATTTATTTTGTCTCTCGGTCAAATATTTCTCATCATGGTTCATCTGACAAAAGCCACCAGCAAATAGTCCTTGGTGGCTGAGTTGCAAGGCCACAGCCTTAACATTTGTTCTATTTGCACTCGACACTGCTCTCCACATACATTGGTAAAAAAAAACTGGACGATCGCAATCATGCTTCTGCAGCCTCGTTGCGATCTCTAAGGCTCAAAAACTCGGGCCATATCGCGAGAAGGATATCTCACAATACTGGAATAGGGGAGGGGGCCTTGCATGTAAATTCATCGCCTTTAACGGGTCTATTATTAGGCACTTGACAAAACTGGGACGTTTAGTGTGCTGGGGAAGACTTGCATATGCATGGCTACCTACAAAGGAGGATCTTCTGGGAAAACTGGAATGGTGGCAAGACCCGTAGCTACAGAGCATTGCATACTACGCATCCAGAAAAGGGAGAAAAAAACATCCTCCCACTCAAAGCTCGTGGGGGCCCACCAATCCAGATCTCTGTGTGCCACATTACAAGTGAGTGGCACTGTGCTTGGCGAGGATAAATAGTTTATAATCTCTTCTTTATAGGAAAGGGGATGCAGGAGGTGGTGGCTAAGGTGGGGGATTAGGAAGGTGGGTGATGAAAGAAGTTCTTTAGATTTCTCTTTATTAGTTTCTCCCCGCAGGGAGTTACTACCATGGTTCCTCCAGCTTTTATTATTATATACACTGATTTTTGGTGTGTGTCAATACAAAAAGGTGAAAACTTTTCCATCAGTTTTCAAGCACGAAGCAAACCCACAGATGTGCATCTCAAAACAATTAAGTTCGTCTCAAAACTATAAACTTGGGAACTTTATTGCAATACAAGAGATATGTGCCAGATAAGATGCAAGATACAAAGCTGGTCCAGAGAAGCCAGTGTTTGTTTAGTGAATGGCCGTGGACATTTGGATCTGACGCAGAAACTGAAATGACATTCCACTCGTTCATCTCTGCTCTCTCAGAATTTTGTAAGGAAGCCAAAGTGCATTTTGCTAAAGGGCCTAAGTGCATACATAGCTTGTCATGGCTCTTGACAGCAGCAGCAATGTCAGACAAAATGTTAATAGACTGTAAGTGTTGCTGCATTTTATGAGCTTCTACTGGTGCTGAGGTCCTGGGTTTGGCTGCAGTCAAGGTTTGGCGTTTATTGAAAGTCGATGAGAAACAATGGCAGGGCTTAGGCCACCTCTATATGTGGGGCTAAGGTACAGATGAGAGCAGCTGGCGACGTCCGTACCCGCTGCCTCGCGGCGGTGTCAGCCCGGCACTGACACCTCTCACGGAGGCCTTCATTGTTAACTGTCCATCACTGTAGTGTAACATTTAATCCAATTAAGGGAGAATATTTGACGATTGTAATTTTGCGTGCAGTTTCGCTGTCACATGTTCCTTTAACCTCGCTGTGCTAGCCATGCCATGTGATTTCACAATGCGTTGCACGGAGTATTGTTTTTTGTTTTTACATTCACATTCATATGAGGCACAGACCATGAAGCTCACTGCACATGACAACCTCCTAAAGGCACCGGAGCTGAAGGAGTTAAAATTAATCCGTCCTGAGTCAAAATCAAACTCAGGACCCAGAGGCACCAGCGCAGAACTCAGTACTGCGAGCACATCAAACCATCCGGCGGCCAGAAGAAACGCACACACACACATATGCTCACATCTGCATAATGATGACTGAAATTTTGCCAAGAAGTCAAAGCCCCCTCACCCACAACCTCTGCATTTACATTTAAAGAGCCTGGCATGAATCGGAATGACTCCATATATAACAAAGCAAGGTCTCACGATCGTACACTTCTAAATAAAGTATCAAAAGTTTATCAGATAAAGTCAAAATGTCCCCTGGACTCAAAGAAAGCTTTCTCACCTTCAAGGTGAGTTTGCAAAAAAAAACATTTCGGCACCGATTGAAGGCCTTCCCCTGGCACTGGCCGCTGCATGCAGAGAACCTGAGAGACTTTTTAATTGAGGCAGCACGGTCAACTTGATGCCTGTAACCACTTTTGCAGGCTCCAACCCAGTGAAGGATGCCAGCCTACATACTTATAACCACATTAACCAGAAGCGCAAAGTTGAAACCGAGGAACGTTATTAAATGGTTATTGGACCATATATAACCATGGCAAAATCCAAACTAAACAGCTGACACAAACATTTAAAGATGCAGTGGAATTGGCACCCTGATACGAAACAAACATTTATCTTGCCTATCTTTGCTACTAAATAGCCGCTATCAGCTACCACGGACAAACACATCTGAACCGGAATCTACGGATGAGCCATCCAATGGCCTGAGTATACATATGTATTATTATTGTGCCACGTGGTCTGCTAGTGGTAGCCTTGTGTTCTTTGCTTACGGACATAAATTTTAGATAATTCTGTTACTGAAGAAATATATGTCATGTATTTAAAACATTCAGTAAACCTTAAGCCTTCATTAAGCCTTTATGGTAAAAAGCAGAGGTGGTACAGGATGCAACGTTGTCCTAAGTTGAGCGGTCATTAAGAGTAATATTTATTTAATGTGCAAAATTACTTGCAGTGTGCCAAAAAACTCCCATTACCAGAAATGCCCTTCCCCAAATTCGTGTGGATTCAAGATGTTTTACTGTATTTATACAATTGTGGAAAGGTTATGAAGCGCACTCCTCAATCACTCAGAGAAACTGAAGTCTTGGTACAGAACTCAGAGGCATCAATGCAGGGAAACCAAAGCACATGCGAGGTCAAAGAGCACGGCAGGGAAAAATCCACTTCTTCCGTGTCAAAGGTCGAAGGTCGAAGCCCTCAAAATGGCACATGCAGAATGCGACTTGAATCAAGAAAGCCTCATTACTCTTCAGTCCATGGGAGAATGCCTGCGCCCTTTTCAGACAGGTCAAATGCTGTGAGGGAAGGAAAATCGGTGACCCCATTGTCACCACTGCATGCCGCCCCCCACCCCCAATCCCGAGGATGGTGCAAACCGATCAACTTAGCGGCTCTTACTTCCTACACCTGGCGTGGCGCTCGCAGCGACTCAGCGGCAAGCGAACGACGCAGGCGGAGAAGGCGACAAAGAGAGCGTGGCTCTCGACGTCCAGCTGGATGTCCAGGATGCGGCGGTCTTCCTTGTCCCCTCTGTTGCACCTGCAGCCGGGAGAATTTAACAGAGATATTGTCACAGTTCTCCCATGTGTTTTCTGGTTCTTTCCCGCATGTTGCTCAACGTGACGTCTGACGGTTTCGCTGCACGTGATGGGACAGGATCGTATTCAAGCTGAAAACACATCTGAGAGACATTCAGCACAACCATAAAAAAACTACACACAAAGTGGTCAAGAGCTCGCCTACCACAGCGAATGGGATGGCATTTCAAAGCACGGTTTCCACTCGCAGCTATAGGATTAAATGCGTTGCGTTTGGTACAGGCATAAGAATAAAATGGTCTTTTTTTTGGATTTTATGTTTGCACTTAGTCACATATTCACTTTAAGATGTTTTTTGTTCATGTTTTTGTTTTTTGTTTGTTGCGGTTGCACCCGATTCAAGAGCCGAATGGCTCACAGGGCTATACCTAATAAATGAACTTGAACTTGAACCTGGGGGTCCATGAGCTGGTTAAACCACAGACTGCGTACGCACCACACCAGATCAATTATCAGTGTGGAATGTTAAAATATGTACATTTAGATGACCCTTGGGGGAAAAAACTGTCTACTTGTTTTGGATAACACATTGAATATTACTGGAATATTCCCCAATATACTGTAGGGCAGCAGTAATGATTAATTTTTGGTTGTAACATGGAGCAATAACCTACAAGTGAAACTGCCTTCATCCATAAAAACACAATTTTTCTGTAATGAGCCCAACTGACCTCAGTAGTGTGCAGTATTGAACTTGTACACCATGATTAAAGAACTTAAAGTCCAACACGATGAGCGATTTCTCACAAAAATTTGGCTGCAGTGAATCACTGCCCAACCCCCAACCCCCTGCTGTCCTCCAGCATTTGTCAGAAATGTTTGAATGATATGCTACTGGCCACAGAAAGGGATATAAAATGTGTAGATTTACAATAAAAAAGTCAGCACATTCATCAATAACACTGTGGCCGTAAAAAGAAAAGTATCAAATAGCTGACACGTTCTGGGCAATGGCCCCTTTTCCCCCAGCACAGACAGAGGCCAGGTAGAGAAGCCTATGTGCTGTGGAGACAGACACCATTGGCACAAACGTCACCGATATACTTTGCTTTTTTTAGGCTGTCTATTTGATGAACGCTTTAAGTTTTTTTGTGATTTGTGCTTGTGCACCGCTGCATGACAATTAAAGCAACGGATTGGCTACTGTTCCTAAGATATTTAAGTTTTACATTTTACGTCGATGTGTAGTGACATCGCGGATGTCACTGTGTGGTGCCGGCCCTAGAGAGGCACGGCGTGTGATGTACTCACATCGTGGACATCACGTGTGTAGCGACATCGTGAATGTCACTGGGTAATGCCGGCTCTAGCGAGGCACGGCGTGCGATGTATTACCATCGCGGACACCCCGTACATGTGGGTGTAGTACCAGCCCTAGAGGGGCTCGGTGAGCGCTGATAGAGAGCGCCGAGTGGCACCACGCTCGGCGTGCAGTGCTGTCCCCTATAGGAGGGGGTGTGAGGGTGCCGGCCATGACTGGGGTTACTAAGGGCCATGGCACTCTAGTTGACCCTGGAAGGCACGTGACGGGTAAGATCTACACAGGGGGCCCAAGTGGGGGCTAGGGGTGGTCATGTGTCGGGGCGAGATCCTGCTAGAGGGTTCGAGAAGGTGGTCGTGGCCAAGAGCGGAGCCAGCCACGGCCAGTGAAGATATAAGCCGGGTCCTCAGAGGGACCGGGGTTGAGCATTGCTGTTGTTATCCTGAAGATCTATGTTCTATGTCCAAGAAGAGTCACCAACACGTGGACCTGGACCCAAGCCGGGATCCAGTCCATTGTAGCTACTCCCAGTGTGATTAGTGTAGTTAGCCTGGTGTCCACCACCATTGTGTGTAGTTAGCCTGGTGGTCCACCACCACAGGCTGTTATCTGGTAAAGGGGCAGTTACCCATTTGTGTTGGTATCAATAAATGTGTTGCCTCCAAAGAGTATGTCTGTGACTCAGTTGAATCCACTCCATATGTATATTGTGTAGATAAATTATGATTTCAAGCTTTCGTGAATGCAGGGATTCATATTCTTGGTTATTTCGGTAAAGTCACGTAGAAGGGAAATAATACAATAATAAAAATAAAACAATAAAATGATCACGACTTTTCGATTGCAACACAAGCAATCATCATCAGGTGTGAAAACCACAGCAAGAAAATTACCCTTTTATGTGACTTTACCGAAAGAACCAAGAATATTGTGCAGATAGTAGAGTTTCACTCATAAATTGTAAACCTATGCTTTTTCATGTGTTTATGGTTGCTTTATATGATAACATGTCACCTGGCCTGTCCATGGAACACTTTAAAAATCAGCAAAAGGGTTATATAGATAAAATGTATCATGAAACACAAGGCAAACAACTATAATGTATATATAAGTACATAGTCTAGTCCTTATTCAGTGTCTACTCGGCGCTTCTTGGCTTGTCTCTTGTATTCATTAAATGGAGCATCTCTTGTCACTGTCCAGCAATAGTCTGCAAACATTGATGGGCTCCATTGGCCCTGATAGCGTTTCTCCATTGTCGCAATGTCCTGGTGACATCGCTCGCCACGCTCGTCGCTCGCTGCTCCGCAGTTCGGTGAGAAAAAAAAATCTAGATGAGAGCGCAAAACATTTTTCTTTAGTGACATGTTGCAACCAAGGCTTTTGTATGCCTTGAGGAGGTTTTCCACCAATTCCCTGTAGTTGTTTGCCTTGTTGTTTCCGAGAAAATTTGTTGCCAATAACTGGAAGGCTTTCCTTGACGTCTTTTCCTTGCCACACAGTGCACTGTGAAATGCATCATCTCGAAGAAGTTCACGAATCTGAGGACTGACAAAGACACCTTCCTTTATATTTGCTTCACTTAACCTTGGAAATTTTCCACGGAGGTACTTGAAAGCTGCTTGTGTTTTGTCCATGGCTTTGACAAAGTTCTTTATCAGACCCAGCTTGATGTGTTAGGGTGGTAACAACATTTTCCTTGATTCAACAAGTTGTGGATGCTAAACACTTTTCCTCCCAGGCTCCAATGACTGTCAGAGTGGCCAATCTGTCTTGATGTAGTGGGAATCCCTCGCACGACTAACCCATTCGCAAATAAAACAGCAGTACTTTGTGTATCCAGTCTGCAGACCAAGCAAGAGAACAACAACCTTCAAATTGACACAAAGCTGCCACTGATATTGGTCATAGTTTATGCACCTCAAAAGTTGTTTCATGTTGTCATAGGTTTCCTTCATATGGACTGCATGACCAACTGGAATTGATGGCAAAACATTGCCATTATGGAGCAAAACAGCTTAAGGACTCACCTTCGATTAATCAATGAACAGTCTCCACTCATCTGGATCATGAACGATGTTGAAGGGCTGCCATCACACCATTTATGTTGTTGCAGGCTACAAGATCACCTCCCATGAAGAATGGGCCAAGATCCTTTTGATGGTCATGGAACATGGAAACCCTAACATCACCTGCCAGGAGATTCCACTGCTGCAGTCTGGAGCCCAACAGCTCTGCCTTACTCTTGGGTAGTTCCAAATCCCTGACAAGGTCTGTCAGTTCACCTTCTGTTATGAGGTGTGGTTCAGAGGAGGAGGATGGGAGAAAATCTGGGTCATGTGACCTTGACCTTGATAGTTCAAGACCAGAAGTTTCATCCTGTTCCTCTTCCTCATCTGGTGCATCAGGAACCGGCAGTCCTTCTCCGTGGGGTACTGGGTGTATAGCTGATGGGATGTTTGGATAATGCACAGTCCACTTTTTCTTCTTTGACACAACTTTCCCAACTGGAGGCACCATGCAGAAGTAACAATTGCTGATATGATCTGTTGGCTCTCTCCAAATCATTGGCACTGCAAAAGGCATAGATTTACTTTTCCTGTTCAACCACTGGCGAAGATTTGTTGCACAAGTATTGCAGCATATGTGCCTTGCCCTGATCTCCAATTTTGCAGCCAAAATAAAGGTGATAGGCTTTCTTAACCATGGTGGTTATAGTGCACTTTTGTGATGCAAAAGTCACTTCACCACCAACACAGCAGAAGTTATTTGCTTTGTTCACACAAGTACAAGGCATCTCTGCTCACTTTGGCTAAACAGAATGTGTCCCTTTGCAAAATCAAACACTGACAAATAATAGAGCACGACACTGCATGATTTCTAGAGCTGATTTTGGGCAATTTGTTCAGCAGAGAGATGTAAGTCTAGTTATGCATCATCCATGATTTCTAGGGATAACATGATGCAATTCATATCATGTATGATGGCAATGCCAGGTTCAGATTGCATCATTCATTGTTTTGCTCAAAAAGCAAGTACTGTCCAAACCCAAACATAGATGTATTCCTAGATCCAGTCAAATATGTATTTGTTATTTCTGGTTTAAATTGAGATCCCTTCCCAACTCAATTATCCTCCGCCATTCCCAAGTCAAGGGTCGTAAAAACTGACCCAGTAGCATATCTTGAAAACGAGAGCCAATCAACAAATTTAAGCATCATTTTCATTTTTAGTGACCCAGAATTAGGTAAAGTTGGACTACGTTTATTTCGGAAGCATTTTGTCTGCAGACCAGTGTAATCAGACGTAGATAGAACATTGTTCTCACTTCCTCACATTTTGCGCCACGTCTTTTAAGAGTGTGCAGACACAGTAGTGCACCAAAAGTTCTCCCGAGCTCTGCGCTACTCTTGGATCGGCGTGTTGGCTCTGCTTGATGCCAAACACACATCCCCCCCCCACCTCCTCAACCTTCAACCCCTACCTGCAAAATCTGGGGCACGTCGATCTCGAGCACTTATCCCAATTATAACCACTCGTGAGCCCGAGAGAAAGGGCTCTCACGGTGAAAATCAGCGTGCAGCGAAGTGAGGCATGCAACGGGAATGCTGCTGCAAGAAAATGGATCTCGCAATTAAGATCCGCACATTGTTCGGGACAAAAGGGGGCAGCCGCATTTTTGTTAGCACAGAGATCTCCCCGCAGCGACAAAATGTTCCCAAAATTTTGATTTTTATTATTATTATATATTTTTTACCAGCATAACACATACTATTCCATCGAGTATTCTTTTGTCAGCCAATGTCTTTGTAATGCATGCTAACAAGAACAGTTTTAAAGAATCACTTGCTTTTGAAGTCATCTGTGTGAGTATTTTAATTTACCTTTGTCAATGCTGATTTAAAGCTTTCGTAATTGCAGGGATTCATATTCTTGGTTCTTTCGGTAAAGTCACGTAGAAGGGAAATAATAAAACAATATAAATATAAAACAATAAAAATTCTCACGACGTTTTATATTTATGTATAGTTTTATATTTATTTTATTATTTTATTTCCCTTCTACGTGACTTTACCGATAGAACCAAGGATATTTGTCAATGCTGTTTGGAAAAATGAAAAACATTTTCATACAATCTTTTTTGCAAATATTTTTTAAGTATCTTCCACCCTGACATTTTAAAGTGTGGATATGCTGTCATAAGAATGTAAAATTACGTGAGCAAAACATTGAAGTGCAACTACAAAACAGTTATTTACAAACCAAGAGGCCTAATGTAACTATGATTCCATACTAAAAAATAAAGATGTATGCATTGTGCATGTGAGAATTTACGTAAACTTATGGGCCTGCGTGGGTAAAACATAACGAGACCAAAAACATTCACTCAGAGCTTCCTGGAGGTCCGAGACTGGAGGCCCGGGGCAGAATGACACGTGAGGGTCCACTCCTATTTAGGAGTGACAAGAAAACAGGTCCACCATGGGGGCCCTCTTTTGTGTGTGGCCTAAAGCAAATTGCCCCTTTTGCCACCCCCCCCCCCCTTCGGGTGGCACTAACCTCACCATCATAGTCATAAATGCTGCCCATGTAACATAACAAAGAACCTTTCATTCAGGTGATTATGTCTTAAAAGAAGACAGATATTCTGCAAACTTTTCTTTTACTTGCAGTGTGGGACAGCATTCAACAGTGCTGTACCATGGAACACTGGAAAATTTGGAGACATTTAATACGTATAGTATATGAACATTGATTTTACACGCAACATTTTCAATTTTCACGTAGTCTATTGGAGGACACATGGGTCTTTCCCAACTGTAACCCGAACATTCTGGGTCTCCTATGTGGCCACAGAACCTGCCCATGAATGAACGAACCAACCTGCAGATGGGCCACTTTTACCCCCTTTCCATTTGCACATCCAAACCCTGCCAGTATGGGGGCCAGCACAGCATGGGTTACTTTCCTTTGGTTATTTACCGAGCCATGCTACGGCTGGCCTCACGAAACAACTCAATTTGGCTCGGGGCAGGACCAATGATTTTTACAATGGAGGGCTGACCGAGGGAGGGGTGGGCAAGATCACCACGTATATGCCAGTTGAGCTTCCGAAGAAATGTGGTAGCTTTGCATATCTCATCCACATTTGCGCACTCACAGTTTGGGGTTATAGACGTCGATCTGCTCGAGGAGGAGGCTGCCAGGCGAGTCGGGTCCAGGTGGTGGCCATGACAACACCTTCAGCACCAGGCCCATCTCAGAGCCCAGGAACAGCACTGTGTGACGGCCGTGTGGGCCTGCCGAGGGGTCCACTGCCAGGCGGGTCACCCGGTATCTGTGGAGGCCCGGGATTGAAGTTGTCAGGGAACGTCAGCAGCAAAGGCAACAGCTGCAGCAGCTGCAGCAACAGCTGCAGCAGTAGTATGAAATATGGTAACAAAACTATTTTTACATTTTGACTTTAAAAACTTTCGTGACTGCAGAAATTAATATTCTTGGTTCTTTCGGTAAAGTCACGTAGATAGAAAATAGAAATAAAAGAATTTTTTTAAAAATTAAATTTAAAAAATAAAAGCAAAACACCACGACGTTTCGATTGCAACACAAGCAGTCTTCATCAGGCGGAGATAAAAGAGGAAGCTAGCCTCCAAATGCAACTGCTTCTAAGGGCTTTCAGAATGAGCAAAGCTGTGTGGTGTCAACAGCATGGGCGGGGCAGCCAGCGCCAATGTCGGAGCAAAGCACCAGAAGTACAAGTAAAGCGAGTGCGTTCGACAATGGGTTGAGGGAGGGGGCAGAGACGGGGAGAGAGAGGGGGGGTAGAGATAGGGATGGAGCTGAAGGCGAGGGCACAGTCCAAGTGTGTTAGACACGGCCTCGGACCGTGTTCGTGAACACAAGGCAGATCTGAAACACAGCAGGACCAATACTTCTGCCGTGGCTGATCATGACTTTAATGCGGCTGGCTCACATGAAATTGATTTCTCCAAGACGATGGTATTTTGTAAGCCGACTGGCTATCAACAAAGATTCGTTCATGAAGCCATCCATATATACAGACACAATTTCAACCGAGACGACGATTTTAAACTCGGCAATCATTGGAAAGATGTCATCAACCACTTTGGGTCATGACTTTATTTGTGTTTTCTTGTCAACCTCTACAGTCAGCAGTGTGGATGGGTGTAGCGAGGTGCAATGCCCCCCCCCCCCCATCTCTACCCCCCCTCTCTACCCTCCCTCTCTCTCTCACCCTCTCTCTCCCCCTATCTCTACACCCTCCCTCCCCCCCCATTGTCGAACACTTTGACTGCGCCCTCGCCTTCAGCTCCACCTCTACCCCCCTCTCTCTCCGTGAAAGACTGGCGAAGTGTGTAAACACAGTTTAGCTAAATTTGAAACATACATATAAAAATGTATGCTTTAATTGCTGATAAACGCTGTATTTTGGGCAGCAGGCATTCAAGAAAGGCATTTGAACAATCATGATGATTATGGAAGGATGTCCCCACAGCACTTTTACTTCACTGCCCGACATTAAAACGCGATTTGTGGTAAACGTTTAATTTGTATAATTTCAATGGTGCGGTTCTCTTGAAAAAAACAACAAGTAAGGAATCAAACTAATTTCTTATTTTAATTAATTGTCTGGAGCATGGGATACTCGCATGTGATTTTTTTCTTCAAAGGAGTTCATGAGAGAGCCATAGCAACGGACAGACTGCTATGAATACCCAGATTGTTATAGGCAGGGTGAAAGCATATTCGCCAGTACAATGCCGGTGTACAAAACTCCATGGATACACCACATTTCTAAAGAACAAGCCATGCTTACAAATACAGTGAGTATTGCTTATAAAGCAATGCACTGTACTTCGCTGTGTCAGGACACAAAACGTAGCAAAACAAAGTGCACCTTTTTGAAAACGTGTTCAACAGCCCTTGCCCAACATCAATCGAAATGCGCTGATGCACAAACATAAATTCACAAGTGTTGTACTGGCTTTTTCATTAAAAGGTTACAGAGCCACGGCAGCCTTTAATAGACATAACCAGGGGCCCTTTATAAACCTTTCCCAATTTCGAACATTACTCCCAAAAGACGAGATGATGCTGTTAAAGGGAGTTTATCATTTCTTTCAATCCTCGTCTCTGACAACCGTAATATGTTGCCCACGGGCTAGTTACACGCATACAATAACTCCTCGCTTAGACTCGATGTCCCAGTTATAGACACTCGTTCATACCACATGTGTACTCAGACATGTCGGAACAACCAGGACATAACACGGGAATAAGAATGATTTCACTATACCAGAATAGAGAACTACTTGTAAATGTAACGTCTTGAGTGGCGGACTATCACATAGCTTACAAAAACTAGGACGGACTTTTGGGCCTGTATTTTTAGTTACAGCTTGGCTCAGGCTTGGTTCTGGCTCAAGAGAGCTGTCGAAAAGCCACACTTAACTAGTGCTGGCTCTAAGCATGGTCCCAATCATGCCCAGGAAGTCCATGAACCGAGCCAAGTGATATCCGAGATGCTTATGCATCTTTGAAAGCAACCGAGTGGTTCAAGCATCAGCTGAGCCCCGTTAGAAGCCAAGCCATAGCCGAGCCGTGATTAAGAATACGGCCCTTAATGTGCAGAGAAGACTTACAGGGGAGCAACAGTGGCGAGATGTTAATGACCTCGCCTGGTATACAGGAGATCGTGGGTTCAATCCCGATCCGGACGCCTGCTGTATATTTGGAGTTTGCATGTTCTCCCATGGTCACGTAGATTTTTATCTGGCTTCTCCAGTTTTTTCCTCCACATTTAGAAACATGCGTTTAGAGTATTTTGGTCGCTGTAAATTTCCACATGGTAAGCCACTTCGTTGAGCTATCATTTGTGGCCAGGTCGCTTCTGAAAAAGAGATATACAGCTCAGTGGGCCTCACCTGGTTGAGATAGCTTTCCCTGGAAAGCTATCTCAACTATCTCAGAGGATGATCCTGGGAAAGACCAGGATAGGTGGCAACAGTAGCCTGATACCGAAGACATGGGCAGGCCGACTGACATATGAGAGTTGGCTCACCTGACGAGGGTTCTGATGAACCAAGGCTGCTCTGTGATGGAGCCCACGGCATCCTCCATCAGCGGGTGGGTTTTTATAAAGGCCAGGGTGTCGTCGGGGAAGTCCGAGGAACTCTTGTACTCGTCGGCAAAATCAGAGCCGGCGCAGCATCCCGGTCTGCGAAGAACGTGGGCGAAATTGAACGGCGCCTCAAACAGAATTTTAACATCAACCAAAACTCAAAGCTTCTTTTCAACGTCCAGGCTCCAATAGACTTCATTATGCTACCATGGTAACATCCGTGCCGAGAAAGGGATGGGGGATTTTGAGTCAGGATGCTTTTTATGTGCGCGCCCAGGATGATCTGAAAAGCCGTGTTCGCATTTCCGCTATATAAAACTCATTGGACATTGAGTCCAATATCTAAAAAGTTGAATACACAAGGTGATGTTGGAAGATGATGCAAATTCGTATAAAATCTACTGAAACTAATATTATCGGCCACCACTCTCATAGCAATTGTTAATGTGAGCAGACTCGGGCATGACATCTTCCCCAAAGAATTAACACACAAGGCCGGCAAATGATGAACAGCCTCGAAATATAATGCAAGGACAAGACAGTTTGGTGAAACCAATGAGTTGCATTCACATAAACCATTATTAAATTCGTATTTAATCAATAATTGACCCAGTGTGTGGAAGGCCATCCATCAGTGGATAGAGAATAGCCGATGGTGTTCAGAATTATATTTAAACAATTATTCTCACACTACACAGTGGCACATACAAATCTCCTCTGAGTTTTACACGAAGAAATAAAGAGGGGGAAAACGTATGATAATGCGTCTCATTATAAACAACATTTTAGCTATGCATGTTCAGTTTTAAATTGCCTCAACAGGCCTATACATTCATTGTACATAGGGAATAGAGAAACGCACCTAATTAAACGTGATTATTAGGCCAAGGTATTCAACGTTACTAATTTCCACAAATGCGAATACAACACTTTTAATGAATCTACACTCACTTAATTCATTAGTCCAACTGCAAGAAGAATCCTTGCGCAGTTCAAGTTGGAACAGCTTATTAAGAACGTATTCATTGAAATGTACTGTAGATTCATAAATTCGGCAGGTTGTGAGAGGAAACCACCTCCTCTGAAATAGTATACAGAAGCGATCGTCCCACTTCTGACAAAAGCAACCATACGAACATAAAGTAAAAAAAAATCCTTATTATGATAGATGCTCAAAGTTCGCCTAAAACAGAATACGGGTGAGCGAGTCGATTACTTATTTATTTTCAACTTTATTTTTGGTGACTGCCAACCGAGATAGTTTACCTTTGCCAGACAGAGCGAACATAAATGATTATCTAATTTAAAAAAGCAGCAATATGCTAGTAATAACATTGAGTAAGACGAACAAGCAGAAACTTCAATCACAAAAAAACAAGCACCACATAAAACAAAATCAAAAAGACAGCCCTTTAAATTGTGAGCTTGAAATATAAAACTTAGTCAGGAACACACAAGTAGCTTATTTGCAGAAAGTTGATTTGCTCACACACTGGTTTTAGCGAGGGAGTAATTTGAGTGAATTTGATTGGGAAGAGGCCAAGCAGCGAGTGATCTCTGAAGAGGGAGGGTTTGCCAAATACATAAAATCCAATATAGTGCTGTTAATGGTCACTTCAAAAAGCTGCTAGCGGCGTGGAACTTAAAGGCTGTGCAATGGTCCAATAATGGAGCGAGTCAGATGCCAGCCATGGCTTTACTCAATAGGCACATGGCACATCCACGCATAAACATACGCACACAGGCTACTGTGAGCCACTCAACTTTCAATTAATTTACAAAGTACAAAAATGTACGAAGCTGACTTTTACTTAACTTATTCAACTAATTCTCAATATACTACCGGATGAAGGCTTCTGTTCTGTTGACACTGGCTCATAGATATGTCCCGCCAAAATATGTGTCACTCCCATCACTCGTACACTGGTTCTGACTACGGTTATCTGCCCAAATATTCTTGTTTATACTCATGTTGATAATCATGCTTTGAATTATTCAGTATTTTTTTATCCATGCATTCCTCCCCATCTCCCTGGGTTAGTCAAAGCAGACATCTGGGTCACGCCAGTGTGCGAAGCAATGAAGATGACGCATTAGCCTCTAAACAATTAATTCCACAGCATCTTCAAATCTCAATCCCAACCCAAATAGATATTTTAAAGCCAAGCGCGGCATTGGCCCGTCAGAACCCTGGTGGGTGGGTGCGGCATCAGGGGTGCCTTCGGAAAAGATTCAGCCAGCCATGCGATGAGTCCGCACACATTAAAGATTCAACCGCTCTCATTGAACATCGCGTACTGGTTCTGGTTCCAAGCGGGAGCAGACCGTCACAGGGGGAGAGCAAAATACCAAATCAACTCTTCAAAACAAATAAAAAATGTTCCCAGGATTATTTTTAACTTCAAAAGTCTGCATACTACGTGCAAGCACCTACTTTGAGGGAGCAATGTTTTTTTTATACATCCAGGGTTAATAATGATTATTATTTGTATCACATCGCAAGACTTTGAGGGGTTGGCGACTGCCCCCGGGAGGCAAAATCGTGGATTTATCATGACTCATGCTGATATTTTCATGCCTGGACTCTCTTTTATATCACTGTTATTATCATGATATTTTCGTTTTTTTTGGAGGAACTTAACTCATATTATTTAGATGTGATTGTCAAAATAAAATTTCTATGCTACTGCAACCTAAATTTATAATTTGTAAAATATTTTTGGCTTTTTCTTTTCCAAACCTGTTGAGATCATGCTCACAAAAAAGCGACATTAAAGCAATGTCTGGCCTTTGAATAAGGTGAATGGAAACATAAAATTCTATAAAATGACATGGCACAGAATTTTTAATTTACCAAAAATATGCCAATTAACAGAATGTTTCAAAAGATCAAATTTGCTTGATTTGATGTAATACATCTAGGGGTCTCTCTGATTATAGCTAAAAAAAAGTAGACTTTATATGAGCACATGCTGTGCAACTCCAGTGACTCAGCTTACAGAGTTTGGATTATATTCAGTACAACTCCCTTTGGTATCTATAAAAATGGAAAGACATTAAACTATTTAAAACTATTCAACTATTTTTTTATAAGGTAAGGCCCACTGAGCTATTAGCTTCCTTTTCAGAAGCAACCTGGCCACAAATTATAGCTCAACGAAGTGGCTTATCATGTGGAAATGTATAGCAGTCAAGTACTTTAAACGCAAGTTTCTAAATGTGGAGGGAAAAACCAGAGGACCCAGAGAAAAATCCACACGACCACAGCGAGACACCGCAAACTCCAAAAAAACAATAGGCGTCAAGGGTTGGGATCGAAGCTACGACCTCCTGAATACCAGTCGAGGTAGTTAACATCTCGCCGCCAAGGCGCCCCATGCGGACGCGCACAAAGGCACTTGCATTGGCATTACAGATTACGCCATCCGAATGACAACTTCAATGGGGGTTAAAACACGTAATCAACGTTGCCAAATCGTGCATTTCGTGAATTCGCCTAAGTTACACTTGCACGCCGCTGCAAGATGCACGCAAAATGCCTTTGAAAAAGGCACACTTCTTGTTAATGGGGGGGCCCAAATATCAAACAGGCATGCACGCCACGTAGCGTAGTACTCGAACGGGATCTGCTTGTCGTCGGGTGAAAGGCAAATAAAAGGGTGCTCCCCCGCGGAGCAAAGGACGAGCTCTTTGGCTGCTCTTGGCCTTTTGTCTCCTGAAAGCTCACGCGGCATGCGCCTGTCACTTGATTAAATGCAGCTTGCTGTGCGCACCCACGCACCGACACTCCCACACGCAAGCCATCCACGCCATCAACGCACGCATCCTTTGGCAACGAGACCTTTTTGCTTTTGAAAAAGTGATCTCATGGAGCTGACAACAACATGTGATCGTTGTAGTAGAAATGAGTGTACTAGCTGCGAGTGCAAATAACCCAAGTGGGCGGGGGTGAGATACTGCAAAACACGCCTTGCAAAATTATAAACATGGTGAACAAATATTCAATTATCCCATGACCTTACACTTCCATTCGGACTACGATGTTAACGAGGTGCAGTGTCAGTGGAGCAAAATGGCAAAGCGACGTTTCGGTTACATTTGAGGATTCCGATTTCCAGCGTCAACCGACACCGCGGCTTGTCTGGTGATATGTTAATTCCCGAACGAAGTTGATCATGGGAGCGGGAAAACACAAAGTGAAACGAACGAGAGTCGAGGAAAGCGTGGCAGACCTGGGTTTGGGAAGCTTGTCTTCGGGCACTGTGGTCCAGCCTGAATCGGAACTTTTCTGCTCCTTAAACCGGCCGCGGAAGACGCTGAGCAGTTCCTCCATGTCGAACGCACACACGGCAGAGCCTGGGATGCTGGTCACGAGTGTGCCCAACAAGGAGAGACACGCACACACACGTACACAAAACACATGTTGAATGCATGCACGCACATACACACAGGACAATAATACACAAACACACAATACACACGCTCATACAAACCCTTACAGAGCACATGGAATACAAACACACGCAATTCATACAGGCGCACGTACATACGCACACACACCCGTAAAGAAAACATGCAATACAGATGCGCACGTAATGCACGCACATACATCACACGTACTTGTGCACGCACAAACACACACAGCACATGCAATTTAGACAACGCATTTCACACACACATACATCACACACACACATCACACACACGTGCATGCATGCCCACACACACAGTACACGCAATACACAAACACAGACACACGCACTATGTGATACTTTCAGAACCGTGCCATTTTCGTAAAACTTTGAAATACCCATTGAGCAATTACATGACCTACACACAAATCTATGGAGCTGCACCAATGTCCACCTGCGCCTTTTCCTGACGGTGGGTCGTGGCAAGACGAGTGGCATTGAAAATCCATAAAAATCTATCCTCGCCGCAGGGCGTGTGGGCGTAGTTCATAATATAAGCGCAGCTCAGCGTGCAAACAAGTACCCAATACAATTCGGTATTACGGAGGACAACACAAAGACATCCGACAGCCCTGCACGGTCACGACAGAGCAATGCATGAAAGAGCGAGGGGAAGCCTCGGACATTGAAATAGTTTTTTGACATAATAAGACACAGACAGGCAGAGTGAAAGAATGTTTAATGAAATCAATCACAAAGGTTGAGGAGAATAAGACGCTTATCAACAAACGCAGGCAGAGGATCGTGAACAGGGGCAGCGCGCTGAAGGCAACTCTAGGCTTGTGAAAATGGCAGAGGCGAAGAGTAACATCACAAATTGGAGATCCGTGAGTAAATGAGCGACCAACCACTGTTACAAGCAGATGGGCCCCTTCTCTCCATTCCTGAAACAATGGAAGGGAAGTGGGCACCATCACATTCTGCTCCAGACCCCCGCCATGGCCAAGGAAGAAGAAGAAGCTCTGAATGCCTCGGCTGGCCAGATGTTGCCTCTAAAATAAAGCAAACACTTCCTAACGACCAGATAAAGAACTCAGTCGTGCATGGCAGAACAAACACATGCCCCCAGGAAACGACTTCACCCTCTCCTTGTTCTTATTTCTATTACTTAAAGGACTGTCAAAACATGAAAGGGCTTATTTAATAATCTATTCGTCATTCATCAAGAACGTAACCATTAAACCTGCTCTACCCACCCAACAGTTGACTGCTGTGGCACGTTCTTGTTGTTGTCTGGGGTTTTGTGTAGTGACTTTTAGAGGATTCTCTGTAGTTTTTGGAGCATGTTTTTCTCTTTCAGCTGCGATTCGCTCACTGCGCTTCCAACCATCGGATATCATCCATCCCAGTGATTCGTCTTTTCCAGTCCACTTGCTCCTTGTAATGGGGTGCGATGTCTTGGGCACTGGCTTTTCCTCTGAACCATGCGTTTCACTTCATATCTTAGCTGGCGAGTTGGAAGGCCAAAAACCTCTTCTCGCTTCTCTGGGTGACTTTCAGCTGTCGTGCCAATTACGTTGCCGCTGACCGCATTCGATGAGTGCTAAATTTGTCTTGGCAAATAATCAGTGGGGGGGGGGATAAAAAAACCCCAGGCACCTACAAAGCAGGCTCGTTTCTGTGCTTCCTTTGTATTCAGGTGCTAGTGAGCAATTTCTTAATTAACCCATTTCACCACGTGTTTAATCCGTGCCGGCAATCGGCGTGGGCATAATTGAACTCGTGTAAAAACACGGGCAATGTGCCAGTATCTGCTGCAACGGAAATTTTTGCCTACAGCCTCTTGAGGAGCCAAAGCAATAGCCGTCGGTGCCAACTCGGCATCACGGCCAGGGAGACAGCGAACACGCGGCTGCATCGTCCCAGTGAAACACCGCTATCACACACTGCCGAGGCTCAAAGGGTGAAAGAAGCAGATGTGTCTCGTTATCAGCTTTTAATATATTCTAAGCATTTCAGCAAGGCCTTACAATAATTCATGCCAATTTATTTCTGAAACCGTAGATAACACTGCCCAAAACATTAGAATTACTAAATAAATAACGGCGACACCTGTATCCACGTACAAACGCGTAAACAAGCCAGGAAAGGCGAGATCGGCAGGTGAACCCCACCCCCACATCGTGCGAGATTATAAATACCGTGTCTTCCCACATGCGCCAATCATCCTAAACAACACGGGGTTTTGTACCTATTCGCGCTATTGTTGCGCAATTTCCTGCAAATTGCACCACACGCCGCTGCTTCTGCTTTGTACGCCCGCCAAGTTTTGGTTTCCCAACCCCAAGCCTCAGGCATTTCCACTAAATCTCAACAATCCTGGTGAAATCCCACAACCAGGCACAGCGTGCGGGCTCGGATCAACCGCGCGTGCGTGCAATGGACAATTATATTTCTTCTGAAGCGTTTCCATCAACAGTGAAGGACATCTACGCATTTGTCTTGTCCATCATTCTCCATATATCACGGCGGCAACGTGGAAGGCCATTGCAACCTTTGTAAATCTCAACACATTTCAGGCACTCTTTGTTGGGGAGCATAAGGTTAGTCGGACACTCTTCCACTGTTTATGCATTGCTCATCATGAGAATGTGGCCCGACAACAGCTAACTCGAAACCACTCAAACTCTTACTTGTATTAATGTCTGTAAATGATGAGAAAAACGGTGCAGGACGAAATACTTTCAGTTTCAAACCACACGCAAGACACTTCTAAAATTCACACAGCCATTTGTGCATATGCAAAAACCATCAGCAGTTCCTAAAGATGTGCAGTGTAGTACTCTTGCTGGTGATCTAAGACAACAGGACCACAATGCACTTCTTCAGGAAATTCTGATTGTTTTTGCATCAGCAGAGAGGCTGAGTGCTGTTTATATGATTTTGTGAACCTAATTAATTTATGTTTCACTTGTTTTCACAATTCGATATGAGAAAAAAATGAAAATTCCACCACACTCAATATATAATGAATACATATTTAGGTATTGTCTTTGCTAGATGTTTGATCCTTACTGTGCCTATGCACAGGACAGGTTATGATTAATGCCAATTAATTACACCCATGTTCTGACCTCTAAACATCATTCAGGTATGAGCATTGAACGCTGGGGGACTACCACACAGCTATGCAAAACTGGGTGCTTTTGACAAGCAAGGTGCAGGTGGTATTTTAAATAATACAATTAAAAAAGCCAAGGGTTCATTATACATGTGTATGACCAACCTCAGACCCAGGCGGAATAGCGACATTTTAATGAATATTTTACAAATGCCATGGATGGGTCACACACTGCCTCAATTTCCTATTGTAAGCACGAGAGAGTCATTTCTTTTGTCCCTGCCACTGCCCTCTCACCACCACTCCGTCCGCCACCAACACAAATAAAGGTGCGCAGGTCAACAGGTTAAAGGAGCCCGTTACAAAATCCACACTCAAAAGATAACAAGCACCGAAGCCAGCTGCTGTAATGTGAACATTAATCTTCTTTGGGTTCAAGGAGATGGTCAAGTAAATGTTTTACCAAGACTATGCAGAGGTCATTATTCAAAATAATAAGACAAAGAAGAAAAATTACGCAACCGCATGGATTGTCCTAAAACACTTTCCAACGTACATTTGTTCTCACGATTATTTACGAATAATGATGGGTGCAGAAGCAAAATATTGAGATGACATCGTACGGCGCATGATGTAGGACATCGTAAGATGACATCACACGGTAATCGGGAGTGCATGCGCCAGTATGACGTGATGTAGAAAGATGACATCACACATAATGGTGTTATCGCCTTGGCCGACTAGGATAATACTTTTAAGTTTGGCAATCGCTTGATCAATTTGGACGGTTTTCTCTAGCGTAAGTCCCTAATAGCAAAATCACTTTATCATAAAATTGTATTCATATTGGATTATCTTTACGGGAGTTATTGTACCCTTCCTCCAACAGCCTGGGCCATTACATTAACACGTTCAACCTTCGTTGAAATGAGATAAAACCCTTACAGAAACAATTAAAAATAATTTTTCTCAAAAATCCCCATTATTTTACAAGCTTTCTTCCTGTTAGAGCCAAGGGCACTGAATTCAGCATCAAGGTCAAAATATGAGAAAACAAATTTGCACAGGGGACAAAAAAAGCGAGCAGAGGGTGAGGGGTCTGTGTCCGTCTGATTAAATGAGAGTACCTGTTGGCAGGGGTGGTGAAGACGCCCAGCACTACGTCTCTGCCGTTGATGGTGATAATGTCCGTCAGGGCCTGTAGCTCATTAAAGTAGAAGTGAGTGTCGCCGGGGACGGAGCAATTAAGGCGCGCTTTAACGAAGGACGTCCAGTGCTTGTCCAGCACACGCTGCGAGCCGCCGGCGTCGTCCTTGCACACGCGCGCCACGCGCGACACCACCACCTGGGCACACGGGCACACGGGACACGTCAGCCACGCGCGACACCACCACCTGGGCACACGGGCACACGGGGACACAGGAATACAGGCACATGTGCATCAGTCATGTGCGCAAAAAGTTATCGTTGTCGCAGTGTGTTCAATTCCCACCTGGAGTGCCTTTCTGCGAGGGGTATGTATGTTCTCCCCCTGCATGGGTTTCCTCTAGGTTCTGCAGTTTCCTCCCACAGCTAAATAAAACACGCAGTGTAACTAGTATTGTCCAAATATGCAGATGCTGAAATTTTATCTGCAAATTACTCAATTGTGATGAGGCATAGCAACATCACCCTCCCACTCCCCCCAACCTCCAATGTGAAAGCTTGGCAGGCATCTCCTGAAAAAGTCTTGAGACCCAGTGAGGCTTTCCTGGGTAAACAAGTATAAATAATAATGCTCACACTGAATGCAAAATGTCGAAATGAAATTCCATTTCAAGACATTAAATTTTTGATTTGCATCTTCCCCACCGATTTTATCCCAATTCTACAATCAGTGTCATGCCACTGATTGCAGCGTGACACTTTTTGTTAGAGAACTGCCAATGAAAAGATGATATTATAGAGCTACCTCTGAAATCCCTTCTAAGTGACCTCTGGTCCAGAAATTAGGGGGCAGCCCTTCCTATCGACTCTTGTCAATGAATGTAACATTTATTACACTCATATCGAAACGATATTTTTTAATTATAAGGCCTGCAATTTAGCCACATTTTTATGTAAACCAAATGGAATGTGGTGGAGGGGGGTGGGGTGGCGACGGTGCTGAGACGATCAACTCACTAAGCTTGGGAACCCGGTATCAGCAGACAGGCGGATCTGAACCCAGGATGTCAGCGGTGCCGACTCATTGCTTTGACCTCTGCACCAACCGTCACCCTTAACCAAGATGATGTAAATTAAGCGACGAGTGTTAGATTTGAGGCGAGAGAGGTGACCACGACACAATTTGTGGTGGTCTTGGAAGTTGTGTTGGAAACTCCACATGACTATGACGGGGACTATGATGACGAAGGGAGGGGGATAACCTTCTATATGAAAGAACGATTATCTATGATCTCGATCAGGCTGGAGGGAAAAGAGTTAAGTATTAGGTGTGGACTTGAAGAGAGGGAGGGAGGCAGCCACGTGGGTCAGCCAGGGGGGAAGAGATAGCAATCACTCTTATTATTAATGGCTGTCTTTGCCAACTATTTTGTCCCAAGCCTGCACTCAAAAATGTCAAAAATTACACTTCTTAATGTTAAACTATAGAATTAAGACTTGAGAGGCAAAAAACTTTTTTTATCAGTTTTCAACAATTGCCTTTTTTGCACAGAATATTAAATGCCACACGAACACGAAAAAGCCAATATTGGGTAGATTTTCCTACACATGAATAACTGGCTCCATTAAAGTACCATTAGAAATTATGCGTTGGGTTAGAAAAAATGCTGAACAATAAAAATTGTTAACTCGAGTCCTGCAGAAATGGAGGAAGAGCCTGGTTATTTTTTTTTTCAGCTTTCAAAACAGTTTATGCCCCTGCCACAATAATGCGACTGATAAAGACAGCTCAGTCACCACCCTCCACCCCACGAGCTCGCGGCTCTATGCGCTCGCACACACCCCTGTGATTATTGGCCCTTTGTGTGTCATGAAAACGTCACAATACTTTACAAGGTCAAGGCCGACCTACATCAACTCAAAGAGCCAACAACTCGAAACCCTCCAGACAAACGGAGGGGGCTGGATAAATACAGCGTACAATGACAATGACGCTTCATCCATTCAGCCTCGACCAGAGCAAGCCGCTTCAACACAACCCAGTAATGAACCACCATCCCCCCCGCTCCATGACATGCGAGTGATAGAGCGGCAAAACATGAAAGGCAGGCACCCGGGGGTCGGTAGGCCCGGTAACCCAGATTTAGCGGCTATGACAAACTTGAAAATTACTACACGGGGGCACCCACAGCCGCCAATTGGGGACCAGGTCACACAGCATCAATCAGCCACCGAGCGCAGTGCTGGTGGAAGGGCACCAGTCGCGCCACCGTGCTCACTGGAGCTCACAGCGGAGCCGAGGCTGAGCAGCCATCCGTCTGTGGCACAGCTGACCCCGCCAATGTTTCATGTAAGGACGTGGAGAGTGTCGCGCTCGCGTGGCCCAAGTATTCAGCTGCCTGGGTATTTGGGCCCTATTAAAATGCTAATAAAATGCAGCTGGTTACATTTTAATTTTTTTAATTTAATGAGTTTCCCCTCCATCTCCTCTCTCACGCAGCTTTAGTCTCCTTCGCCATTATGCCGGCAATTAGAATGGCATCATCGCTTCAAGTCGAGAGGAGAAGAAAAAAAAATGCAGGGTTGATGTCTCAATCAGTAATGACATGGCCCTTGAAGATATTGAAAATGATGTTTGTAGAGGGGTAGGGAAAATAAAAGTGCACGTAAAAAAGATTAAATGAGAATGAGAAATTAAATTAATAATCAGGCCGCATATATATCTTGGCTTTGTGCATCGTGTTTACAAACAGAATTAAATGGGCAGCTTTTAGTGTGAACAACTGCCACATCTGCGCTCCGTTCACTGGTTGGCTGTGCAGCCATGCAGATGGAGAACTGCCAGGTCTCTTCCATTAGCATTGGGAAAGGTTAAGCGATTCTGTCATTCCCTGGGCGCACGCCACGCTTTGACAGACTCAGGCTCAGGTGCCTGGCTCGACAAAAACGGGAATTTAATTCGGCTTGTTTCTATTTATTACCTCCATTACCGTTGGCTGCTGAATTTAAATGCGGCAGAGCGGGCGGGTAGGGTGGGATGGATTCCTGCGCAGATGGTGGTAATTGGATTGGGCCCGAATAGGAAATTGTGTTTGCAATCTGCATCTCTCGCAGTCTGGACCTTGCGATAAAAGCCCGTCTCCTCTCCACCGCCCCTGCAGGCCGAAACTGGTCAAAGGGGCACTTGAGTTGTTCTTAAAATGAGCGCACGCGCACATACGCGGGCACGCGCTCGTGCCAATGCGCAACGCAATGTGAGACAGGCTTAAGGATCCGCCAGGGTCTGGGGGCTTATCCGTCTTTGGTGGTTCATCCTGCCGTGTCCAGGCTGTAGATCTCAGCGATACACTTGTGCACGCGAGCAAGTTGTGTTTAAAGAGGCACGGGAGGTGCATCACTCCGTGTCGCACCGCCGCTGGCGACGCTCATGCTGGCCCACGGGCCGGGTGGGTGGGTGGGCGGGCGGGTTGGGGTTGCAGGGTGATATCGCCAGCGCAATGTGCGCGGCGGCGGGCGGCACAGCGCACCAGCAGGGGGGCTTCCCAATCTAAGCCTGGACTCAGGAGCTGCGAGGATGAAATCACCGCTAAGGGGAAGGCGCCCTCGTGAAACGTCGCACGCTTCGCCTTTGCTCGTTGATATTCCGTTCGCACTACTCTCGCCATCCCAGGTTCAGAAGTCAAACAAAGGCGGCGAGATTGAAGTAAACCGAGTGAACTCTATTACAGAATGCTAATCCAGTTGGCTTGAGACGCCGCAATCTCATCCTACTCCCTGAGAACGTTTGTTCAATGACCAGGAAACAAAGGAATGTTTTTTTACGCACAGCGTTAACCCCTTCTCGCAGAGCCTTCTCCATTCTCTGCTCTATTCTACCAAAGCAGAAGTTGCAGGCTCAATCATTTGGTCTGATTCAGTTCAGCTTTTGTTTACCATCCCCACAGAATGGCAGAAGAGCAACACTGTTGGTTACACTGTGTGCGAAGAGGCGATTACTAACCACTGGCCTCTTTCATTAACAGCGCACGGTGTCGGAGATGGAAGGAAGATCAGGGGAGAGGCACTTTTTTACATTTGTTAAACAGCAGCTCCGCAACTAGTTGACTTTGCACTTGTTACCAGTAAGGTGCTTATGCTGTCTCGAACGAGTATATTCACAAAATAGCCTGTTGTACCGACGTGATGCGTAAAGACTTTTTGCTCCAAAAAAAAATCCTCACGCAAGTATGGCTGGCTTTCCGTGGCGTAATCCAGTGCAGAGTCCCGCAAAACCCTCCGCGATTATTTTGGCACGATCTAAAATTGTATAAAAATTACATGCGGTCGATACCACCCCCACACCCCCACCACCCCCCCCCCCCCACCCCCGCTCATTGGCCGCATCGCAAGCCGTTCATCACGCCAGGGCTGTGCCGCAAGCACTGCATTTTAAACTTCCTCGCGGCTGGTGGCAGGTTTTGCTTTAAGAGATTAGCGTCAAGCCTGGGAGGTGGGTGGACATTTCTGGACCTCCTTAAGAGGCAGGGTTTGATTTTTTTTCCAGATGGGTGTGGAAAGTGCTGCTGTAAGGGTAAGTTGCGCCTGAAGAGCATTTATGGCCTACAGCTGGAGGCCTTATGTTGTCAGGCTGGGGTAATGTGAACAACAAAGTGGCCACATTTAAAAGTAACCGTTCTTGTAAAAAAACCAGAGCAATTATTGATCCCAAAAAAAAGACTCCAAAACCACATACCTAAATAATGGAGTGTTCTTTTGAGATTGCAGCAAGTAAAGTTAATAGGATTTGGGTTAAGCAGATGGCCAGTATCGTGCAAGCAGGTTATTTATGGAGCTTGGTCAGACCAATGTGAGTTATTGCTCAGAGAAATCTGGACCGTACAGAGCTAATGAAACACTTCCTAAATTACATACGCACGGTGTGTTCCTTTGAGCGTAGGGATAGTGCAAATTCAACGACGGGCTTGTGTATTCACTTTGTTTACAATTACCATATTGAATACCCATTGGGAAGGGGAGAAGAAAGAAAAAAATAAGCATTTTATTGAAGTTACGTCTCGCTGCGCAATTACATTTATATTTATAAACTTGGTGCTGTTACACGGAAAGTTTTAGGCCTGCAAACGTTTTCACCTTCTCAATTCCGTCATTTCCAGATGAAAAAAAAAAAACAAATGTCACCGTCATTGGATTAGGGAACTTCTTTGTGTAGTTCCTGCAGCTTACCCCAATGCACGGCACGTAAGAAACCATTGCTACATCTTGCAGCCCCTTCTCTACACTTAAGAGCTGTGGAGAATTTGGAGGCCTAGGTATTAAACCTGTCCCAAGACAAATGGGAGAGAAGAAACGATTTTGAATAAGCTGCACATATTTTCAAACTCGCTCTGCGTTTAATTTGATCTTTCTTGAAAGTAAAATATGCGCCAGGCTTTAATTAAATCTGTAACCGGACATTTATTGTAATCATAGCAATCGCCCAGCACAGAAATAATGTTTGCATTCTATTCCCCTGCAAGCTTAACATTGCAACATCAAACAAAGGGATGTTACAATGCTAATGTCGAACATACGCATACATTTTCTTGACTGAGAAAAAGAGCTAATAAACGAGGTGTTTTGAGGGCAAGTAAACAAACACGTCTGCATGACGATATCAAAAGCTGCAGAGTAGTGCAGCTTTTGCAGAGAGGGCAAGTTCCCCTGAGTATAGACACACAATCTTGATTTGAAGCTTTCGTGAATGCAGGAATCCATACTTTTGGTTCTTTCGGTAAAGTCACGTAGGTAGAAAAATAAAATAACATATTATTTTGAGATATATTATACGAGCTTTACTACCCTTGCTTCGCCCGGGACTTAATTCACCACGCCCGGCCGCCTTTATCTCTCCAGTGGCAATGTTCACACACCACACCAGTTAATTGTTTGAGGCTGAGTGGACCTAAGGACCTAGGGGAGGCCCAGGACCGGTTTTAAATAATCGTCAGCGGTGGTGGCCGTGAGCGGGAATCGAACTCGGGTCGCCGGGTTCGTAGCGCAGCGCGCTAACCACTACACTACAATGCGTCAAGTTTCCACATGCGCGGGTCACGTGACAGATGTGACGTCACAGCTCACTTGCTGTGCAAAAAATATATGCATTAATTGGCGCCCCCCGCCCACCCCCCAAAAAACACAAAAGTGTATTTTTGTAATGTTTGCATGGTGTACAGTCTGGAAAGTACCCACATGGCAAATTTCCAGTTTGTTGCATGTCGGGAAGTTCGCATTTTGAACAGACACACATATTCACAACTTTGCCTTTTATATATGTGGAAATTATATCATTTTTCATTTTATTTTATTTTTCTACCTACGTGACTTAACCGAAAGAACCACAGAGTATAGACATACACTCTTCCGTACTCCATTTCAAGCACAACACTATTACTTTTTCTTTTTGGGTGGCTACTGCGCCACGTCACAGCCACCCTTCAAAGGGGACTTCAGGAGAGGAATATACGCACACATCCACAATGTGTGTTGCGAGCAAGAAAAACAAATCTGACTCTCAATAATCGTCACTTTCATTTTACCTTCCTCCCACCTGCTAATTCGCATGGATTTCTGCAGATGGATGTCTTTGTAAATGGAGCTGAAAACTATCATCCACCCTCTTTCCCACCCCTCCTCACCTCTGATGGGTTCTGTGCATACTTAAGCCTTTTTGGACGGTGGGGAAATGATTATACTGATGATGACTACAAGATCCCGTCACTGTAGAAAACACGTGTCACTTGTTAAATAAAAGGCTGGTGAGGTTACGACTTCCGTACTCCCTAAATACAAACGCGACAAGAAATCCAATGTTTTGTTTTACAAGATTAGGCCAATGTGCAATGCTCTCATGGGCAAAACTGCTACACCACAATGAGCAGTTTCTCACCCACCACTTAAAATGTCCAATACGCTGTTGCTGTGCCCTACAGGACTATCAAAAGCAATATTTAATGTCACTTAAAAATAAAGCAGAGTGTTAGTGGAAAGGAAATACTGTTCAAATGTGAGTACTGTACTCTCGCCTGGATGGATTATTTTTACCCACTGAATCCCATCACATCAGAAAATAGAGAAAATTATTTTGCTCTAAGTCTGATTGAGTTAGGCGAAATCAATTCTGTAAAAAAAAATCGTTGGTTGAGTGATTTGAGGAGCCTATGGCAGTGCTACCCAAGATAAAAAATATATATACTGAACCAGACATGCCAAGCCCTAGATTATAATCTTATGCCCTCAAAAGGTAAGAGCTTGTCATTGTGGGTATTTGGTCTTTATGGTTTCAGCCTGGTTATGAATAACTGAACTAAACAGTCATAAAAATTGGTTTGCACTAACATCAGCTATTTTCGTGTGCGTTTCTTTCCTATTTTCTTTATTGTTGTACTTTTTTAAGCTATTGGTGTTGTCATTTTGGTGACCTGTGTCACTAATTCTATCTACTCTCCTGGTGTCTTGAAGATCTGGCCCGGCTAAACGAAATAAAAATTGAAACTTGAAACAGGCACTGCTCTGTGCGGCTTATTCAGCAGATATGCGCATAGCCAAAAGCTGAAGAGAGCATAGTGGAGTAGTCGTGTGAGATGGCGCATTGAAGGATGCCAGGTAATATACAGATTGTCGCAACTCCACTCTCTAAGAAATCAATATAAAGCCAATTGTCGAGAGATGAAATATTCTTCACAGCGCACTCGGCTGCCAAACATTTAAAGAGATGAAAGAGACAAAAAACAAAAGACATGCAAGTAACTTCTCACTCTGCAATCTCTCTTCTAGGAAACACGTTGTTTGCAAGCTCCGTGTGGACCTGTGTGCCCATGCTGTCTCAAACGTTGTTCATTTTCTACAACATCCCACCTCCTCTTTCCATACTTGGGCTCATTAGCACTTTCAACTGCTGCGGTAATAACGAGCACAGCGGGGAGTCAAGTCTGTCCATAAGATTTATTTTCATAATTCTTTTTTTTTAACCTCCCATGACGTCAAGAGTGAGTCAGCGGGGAGCGAAAGGTAAAGTGTTCGCACGTTGGCATGGTTGGGAGCACGTGGGCATCGCTCTGGCACGCATTTCCATCAGCATCAACGCAAAATGGGAACGGCTGTGCAGCTAACACCAATGTTGCTCCGCTTACCACATCTTTGCGGTTTCCCTGCCCACATCTTTGGTCTGTTTACACTCTTCTCTGCGTAATCATGAAACACGTCTTGGGCCGGCGTTCAAGCTCAAGGTCTGGTTACACGGGGACCTGGCTGACGTTAGCCTCGAATGGGTTCACGTGAAATGAATTATGCGGGGAGTGGCTTGGTGCCCGCTATTCGCGCGATTGCTGTGAATGCAGCAGCAATGGCACAGCAAACTGCACTCCGAGGACCCCCAAATGAAATCTAATAATGTGAACGGTGGCTTCGAGGTAGTTTTTAAGAAATGTCCAAAACCATTTTCCAATAGGTTGTAGATGTTGAGTAATGTCCTCTTCCTCAAATGCATTAGACTGACACAGAATCTGATCGCTGCCTCATTTACATTGCAGAACCTTTATAATAAAGTGCAAACAAAATAAATGTTAAATACAGTTTGTTGCAATGACGATGAATAACCCTTCACTTCAAACACCCTCACCTTAGTCAAGCACCTATGTCAACAGGGAACGTCCAATTTTAACTCTTCCAAGGCAAGCACGTATCATGCGCATATAACTATTAACTGTAACGGTTAGATTAATTTGATTGATCAGAAAGAGGAAGAAAATCTGTATTGGGCCGTGTAGTAGTGAGAGGGAATGGCTAGCTGAAGGAGATCATCGAGGGAATGTTATCGGGGGGAAATGCCGAGAGGAAGGAGGAGAATGGAGATGCTAGAAGAAGTTCAACAAGGACGTACATACAGATGTAGAGAGCAGCGGAGGACAGAGCAACACGGAGGAGAGAACTGACACGTGCAAGTTGTTCATTGCAAATGTGCAGGCATCCTGTGGATTCTCTGGTAGGTGGCAAGTTTGGCACAAATGGGCAGCTCCATGGCTGAGCGCAACACAGCGTGTGCGTGTTCACTAAAGCACAGGCCCGGTTCGTTGCAACACTCAAGCCCGTGAGAGATGCATTAACCACGCCCTGGGTAATCTTCAACGAGAAGACGCACACACGCAAGATCGCCCCTCTGTAGACACTTGGGCGCTGGCATGCAAACAAACGCATCCATCACACTTGTACGTGTCACTGTGCGAGAACGCAGACGGTAAGAAAGCAAACTGGGCTCAAGGTAATTTTAACAGCGCTGGGGACAAAGCCTTCCCACCAGGGGCACAGGCCGATTGCTATGTTTCATTTGGTTCTCAAAAGAGCCACTGAGATTCCACGTGGACTAGCTTTCAGTTTACTTTTCTACGACACGATAGCTGTCGCGCACTTTCACCAAAGTTTTGCCTTGGAGTTATTGCTATCGTGAGGACATTGCCTGCTATGTTAGCCACATGCACTCCATACAAGGTACAAAAAAAGCCCTCACTATTGACTCTTTCAAAGGATGATTTTTTTGTGTTTTATTTGCACGCAGACACAAACGAGCTGTGTCACGTGGCGGCAGGACCGTGCCGTGCGTGTGGCTGGGCTGAGCGAGAGGGCTGCTGCTGCTGCTGCTGCTTTACCTTGCCGAAGACGCTGTACTCCACGGCGATCTCACGGAAGAAAAAGTAGACGTGCTCCCCGTACTCCACAGCGTGAACAAAATGGGGCTCTGCATTGTGCCCGCACAAAGTGAGGGGACGTGGAGCCCGTGTGTGAGAAGGGGGTGGGGGGGGGGACGTACAAACATTATTGAACAGGGGGGCAATTACATACGCATGCATGGCACCTCCAAATTAGCACGGTTGGCTTCGTATGGTGCGAAAGAAGTTCAACATACAAAGACACCCCCCCCACGGCATTGCCTTACAGACTTTTTGGAGAAAGTGCTGCTATAGCAAGCACCGTTAAGGCTTGCACGGCACACGAGGGGGTGAGTGGCCAGCACAATGCCCGGCTGCCTTTGTCTCCTGAGTGGCGATGTTTATACACCGCACTAGGTACTCATTTAAGGCTGAGTCGACCTAGGAGAAGCCCAGGTCCAGTTTAGATAATCGTGATTGGTGTTGGCCGTGAGCCAGAATCGAACTCGGGTTTCCAGGTTTGCAGCACGTGTGCCCACCTCTGCGCCACCGATCCCCGCATACACACGCACGAGTTGTTAGTGTTTGAAACGCAAGCGTGACTGGTTGAGATGTTGCGATTTACTGTTGCCGGCGCTGCTGTGCGCTGGGCCTGCCAAACGATTACATGTGGGTGCCGTCTCACACTGCATTGCGTGCATAATCAAAGGTTTGCTTCACGGGGGCGTGTTGGCCTGCCCTACAGTGCATTGTGGCGGTGCGCGCGTATGTGAGGAGTGGTGGCGGAGTGGTTAGCGCGCTGCACTATGAACCCCGGCGACCTGAGAAAGCATAAGACAAAAGTGGGAGGGGGACACATAGCACCTGCCTCACATGATCAGATTCTATATAGTACGTCCTCATGAGGCACTGTATGCACGTCTTAAGAGAGCAGCAGCACATTGGATTAATAAATGCAATGACGGTGGCTCACTACCTGCTTGTCTCATGCAACTCATGTACCGCTCAATAATATGTCTGTAAGATGACAGGTTTTACAGCTAACGTGCAGCCACTCATATCTGCTCCACCACGAGGCATAAATTGGTCTCCGCGTTACTTTTAATTCATCTCGTTTCAATTTCAACCTGACCTTTTCAGAAGCAGAGCATGTTAATATCCCTACCGCTGCAGGATGTCTGTAGCTCATTTATGTGGTAAATGATGAGGAGCAGGGAGTGAGTGCTAGGCAGGGGTTTAGAGGGAACAAGGGGGAGCTTAACGGTGACAATGGGTGGGGACAAAACAATTGCACCTTTGAGCCACTTTGAGTCGTGCTTGATAGTTCTCAGTGTAGGACCCCCACCCATACTTCTGTACACGACTGCATCTATCGCCAGAAAGTCCGTGACCGTTCCAGAATACATCATTCCATCTGGGGAATAAAAAAATGAAAAAAACACGCGTACGCACTCGAGTCAATAACACGCGCACACCTGCCACAGCCACAGGGTCACAGATGTCAGCGCTATACCACTTTGCGGTTAATTGCTCAATGCATTATGTGGTCGCTTTGCCTGTGACGCACAAATTAATACGATGAACGCAACATCTGTCAGCGCGGAGCGCGTGCGCGGGATTCAGTGCTTTATGGGAAATTGCATTACATCATTGAGCGGGAAACCAGATTACATGACCGCGTCGTCCCCCGCCACCGTGCGCGAACGTGGCAGCATCTGTATTGTCAAATAAAACCACGTCGTAACTCTACCGACAAGAAACACGGACCCGCGCCGTTCACTAAGAACGCACGGGCCTGCGTCGCAACCCGGGTCGCTTCGCAGAAGGCAGCCTATTCAGTCGAGAGTGCTTGCAAAAACTTAATGCGCCAGACGACAGCCACCGGAACACGGCGAATATATCAGAAGCGTAAACATTACGGGGAGCAGTTTGACGAGGCGTGCGCAAATGTCGGGTGCTGACGTTCACCACGACCACGCGCGTGACGATCCGTCAGGAGGGGGAAGAAGCGAGAGGTGCTCACCAGAAAAGAGTGCCACGTTGCTCTGCCGTGAATCGTAGGGACACTTTGCCATGCCACTGATGTCTTCTCCTTCCACCTCCAAGGTGTCAAGCTGTGTATCAGCGAACACGAGAAAGGAGGAAGAAAACGGAGCAGTAGCACAGGTGAGAGAAAAAGCTTTGACAACTCTACAGTTGAAATCTAATTTTAAAAAATCGTAATGAAATCGGTGAGAGAAAAAAACACACACACATAAGAACTTCTAACCTGATAAAATAACTGCCGCTGCTGTCAAAATGCTGTTGTCAGTTAATTAGTTTACCTGGAATGAAATACGTTTTATCTGCAGTGAGGAGTGCATTTTGGGGCTGTGGGTACACGTTTTCGGGTGTTCACGTGTTCTTTGCCAAATTTGTTCAATTAGCTGAGGTTTAAGGTGTCGGATGAGAATTAATTTGAAAGGCACAAATTCGGTCCGGTGCCATCGGAGGTGAGGGCCACAGAATCACACCCCCCCCTTCCCCCGCCCCATTTCTCCAACACAGACATGCGCTCAGGTTAGCAGGCAGGCATCCACTTGGTTCATCATTCTAAGGGTGGGGGCGTCATGGTTTCTACTCCAGTCAATTTTACTCACAGATCCATCCACCCATGGTGAAGGCAGCCAGACTGACAGTTTCGTCTCATCCACACTTTGTTTCAACCACCACACTGCAGGTCACCTCACTTCTCTTGCTGCTTCTTTGCTAGTACTGCTCCACTTTGGAATTCCCTCCCATTGTATCTTTGTTCCCAAGCTTTTAATAACAACAATAAGAACCATTCACAAATCAAGAAATATGTTAACTATTGTGAATTATAACTTTGAAAATGCAATTTTGTTGCGAAGTCAATGATGTTTTTTTCCCATCCTTTGGGCCTGTGCTAGGCAATAGTGCAAAAAAAAGTGAAGAGAGGGTTGCTTCCACTACTCTAACATAAAACCGAAGTCCTTAACCGAACCAACGCGTGCAAACTCACGTCACGAGGCACAGGGCCCGTGTTCACTCATCGTGATTAAATCTAATTTCCCTCTCCTCTCTGCCAATTTCTTATTACTAATACACACTTTTTAAGATTTGTTTTTTTTAAACCTATGATTTAATTTTTAGATAGCACAACTTTGCAATTAAGTTGACCTTGCGGCATGCAAGATAACAAAGTGGCTAAAAAAATATGGTTCCAAAATAACCCAAGAGCTTTTATCCAGATTAAGTATGCCATTTAAATGAAGTACAAAAATAATGCTAAATGATGGGGCAGTTTTAAAAAAGTGACTGCTAAATTGATTTGATAATGAGCAAGGAAATTATTCTATCAAGGTCACATAATTATGTGCAACAGTAAATTATGTGTCACAGAATTAATTATCAACTCATGTGGGCACGCAACATTTATTTCACATTTACATACACCAACGTGTGACAACACATAAGCCAAAGTATTTTTAAAGCAAAGGAAATGTGTATTTTTTATTTAAACTCCATCTACCACACCACAAAAGGGTTTAACAAACCACAATAGATATATATCCAGCTGCCAAAACGACTTTGTGGCCAAATAATGATGAAGTACGTTCATATTCCCTGACACTGAACGCAAACGCATTTGTCTTCAATAAGGCTGAGAGCACATTAACGGGAACGTTATGAAAAATTCTGGCAGGGTGATTAAATGCGAAATAATTAGCATCGTAGCAGAATCGTTTAGGTGTACAACAGGTGACATGGCTGGTTTTAGTGGGGGGGGGGGACTGAAAGTTAAATGCATGACAGCTGCCACACCTGACTTCACTCACACAATGCACCACGACAAAACCCCGACCTTCTCCTGCCTTCACGGGACGCATCCCTCACCAACTGTCACCCGCCGGCCCATTCGATCTGACATTTGATACTCATTCCTTGGTCAGGAGGCAATTACCCACTTAATTCTTTCCAAAGAGCCCCAGAAAAACTTATCTGAATGTAGGTTGCCAAATGTGCGGAGAATCCGGCGCTGAAATGAATATATATTTGGACCAAACCTCTCTGGTGATTTTATGAATTTAATCAACTTTAATGTTACATGCAACAAAATAAATCGCAGATGGTTTTCAAGCCGACGAGACACTTGGGAGAATTTGCTTGCACGTTTTACATTCGATGGTTACACGGTGCAATAGTGCCTGGTTTCTCAGGTGATAACACCTTAATTCTGTGACATAATTAATCCTAGACACACCTACAGGAGGCTCGATTAAGAATTCATTAGATATGTTGTAAATTGCCCTGTTCCAATTTCATAAATCTACGAGGGAAACGAAATACCTTCTGGAAAGGTAACTTCAGAATTTTTTTTTACGGATAGCTTATTAGTTTAACTGAAAGTCATTCTTTAAATGTGTTTTTATCTACAATCAATTTCTTTTTATATTATGCCTATGGTCAATAAGCAATATGGAAGGAGTATTGCAATGACTCTGATCTATATAACAAAGTACATATATTTTGTTTTCAGGCCATGTTCACTTGCCTTATGTACAATTTATTGAATTTCCAGAAGTCTCCAATTGCTTCAATTATGGTTGTACATTTATGGGAAAGCTGCCATGCAGGGAGTTAGGTTTTGTTCAGATTTTGTATCATAAATATTTACTCTTTATGAATAAGGGTATTCAAAACGGCATTAAGTGCCTGCATGCTGCGATTCATTGCACTCTCTCCTACTGTGCATCTATATTTCTGAAAAGTGCTGATCTCTGCATTTGAACAAATTTGGTTCCATGTATATTCTATGCCGGAGGCAATTAACACCGCTATTGTAAACACTACACGTCAGCAATTCCAGCACCTTCACCGCTATTGCTGTTGTCACAACTTCCGTTCACCACCATCAACACTATCATCATCCCCAACCACTGACATTTTAAATGAGCTAACAGCGCACAGAGCAGCAGTCTCAAGCAATACATGTTTTTCATGTGCAGCGACATTTTTTTCCTCCAACCTCTTAAAAAATAGACACAAAGGAAACAATAGCCACAAAGGGTGACCTTCTCATGGTTCTGTGCCAGAAACAAGGAAGCATTCAGCTCGACGTTTTATTGTTTGTTTGATGTACATTAATCCTCTTTGCCATAACAAAGACATCAACGCAGCCTTTGGACCACTGAGCCCCCATGTAAGCTAATCCCTATTGAGGCAGAATGGCTTCTTGGGTAACATCAAGGCCGGTTAACCAATGCGAAACCGTTGCAAGTGTTTATTAATTTCTCCTCGGTTAACTTATCCCCGAAGCATGTGGTTTATACATTTTTCATAAGACCACCATTTTAGAAGGTTGCATAATTTCCTGTGAAATTTATTAATTTTTAGCCATGGATGCATTAATTATTTGGCAACAAATTCACGAGCTAACCTGAGGTTATTCCTTTTTTTTATACGTGTATAGTACACGAACAGCAGTTTTGATGATGCGTGTGCAAACAGTTTATTTGTTTTTTGTTACAGTTGCTTTTATTGCCACTGCAGATGCTGAATTAGACAATTCGTCCATCCCCTGACCCCCAACCCAGCACCGACCACAGAGGACAAAGCCAGTGCAAAGATAACCCAAGTACAGAGAAAGTTTATCTTCTTGGTTCTTTTGGTAAAGTCACGTAGAAGGGAAATAATAAAATAATAAAAATAAAACATAATAAAATAATTCTCACGGTTTATTTGTTTTTTGTTACAGTTGCTGAGAATTATTTCATTATGTTTTATTTTTATTATTTTATTATTTCCCTTCTACGTGACTTTACCGAAAGAACCAAGAAGATGAATCCCTGCAGTCACGAAAGCTTTAAATCGAAATTTAAAGCAAGTTTATTTTGAATTAATGGCAACATCACAGGGCCAATGATCTGGTCAGCAACTTCAAGGGGTTTCTCCACATTCATTTGGCGAGGCAGATCAAGGACAGGTACGACAGTGGGGATGGCCATTTTACTCACGGTCCACTTTAGACTACTCAAAAACTTAACAACGTGTACGCCCATTTCTTTAACAGTGTATTTCTTTTTGGTTGCTAATAACACACAGGCTGAGGGATCAAAGTAAGCCTAAAGGCACAATTTGTTCTGCGTTTTTCAGGAGGAGATGCTCATTAGTAGGACGCTAAACAAGCCTCATGCCGATAGAATTGTGTCTACAACACAGTCGAAGTTAATTTAATTTTCATGTGCCTTTTGTTAATTAATTAATAACATGCCACAGACATGTGTACACTTTGTGCTATGGATTGACAGGACTTCCTAACGTGTGTATCTGTGATACAAATATGCTATGTTTAGCGATAACACTGTTGGGCAAGTGCTCTCAGCGAGCACCTATTAAGGCCAGCAGAGAACCCCAGGGGGTTGGTGTGACCAGAACTGCACCCAGTCATTTGCAGGTGGTTAGTGCACCGCTCTATAATCACCGCTACAGGGTGTGAGTTCAACTCCTGGCCACATGAGACACGAGTGGTAAATGGTATATAAACCTGATCTGGGATACCCCTAGGCCGATTCAGCCTAAAACGAACAACGTACGTGATGGAAGACATCCTGCAACTCGCTGCTCAATCCATGTGATTTATTGAACTTATCATGACCTGGGATCATGGTGAGCTTCAGGAACGATGTTTTGTGTCTTGGTTATACTCCCCATCTCATCTGTACTGACCTGATCGTTCTATTTCTCTTCATTCCAACCGTTAACGTAACGGAATAAGTTGCAGGAAGAAAAACCAGTCAAATTTTCCACGAGCATTTCAAACCGCGTGTCACAGATTCAAACATCTATGTAAATCAATGAATTGTAACATGCATTGTGCATGAAGTTTCATCATCGCTACTTGAAAGACAAATCTGGTGGGACGGAGACGTGGTGCTGACCACACCTTGCCCTCACGTGGCCCTCACGTGCCATGCTCGAACTCAAGAGGTGCTCGCTAACAGCACTGTCTAAACTATTTTTTGTAACTAAAGAATGTTTTATTTTACCAGGTAAGGCCCACTGACCTATTAGCTCATTTTCTGAAGCGATCTTTCTCTGGTTGAGCTCAACCAAGTGGAAATTTATAGCAGCCAAATACTCGAAACGCGTGTTGATTGTAAATGTGGAGGGAAAAAGTGGAGGACCCAGAGAAAGATCCATGCGACCACAGGGAGAACACGCAAATTCAAAATATACAGGCGTCAGGGTCGGTATCGAACCCACGAACCCCCTGTATACGAGTCAAGGTAGCAAACATCTCGCTCTGCAAGAGTCTCGACAGGAGTTGGGATTGTGTGCGCATAAGTGTATTTTATACTGTGCTTGCTTTTTGTGCTCTTTAATCTTACCAGGTAGTTTCTGCACATGGGGTTGAAGGCGTTGGTACCACACACGAACATGCTGTTGTCTCCTCTCCTGAGCAGCACTTTAATGTAGTTCCGGCACTCCGCCTGGGCACAAGAAGTTAGCATTTCTTCCCTCGGCACGGTGTAAACACAATCGTGACGCACGAAAATACGACAAGTCATCCTCAGAGGGAAACACCACTGGCTTTGAACAAATAAACCCACAGATGAGCCTAAACTTGCAAGCAAGTGACCAAGAGTACGAAATAGGCATGGGACGATTCACTACCCCCCCCCCCCTGCTCCGAGATACTTTGGGATTTCCAGGATGATATAGGTCGCAATTTGATTCAGGGAGTCATTTGTACCATCTTACTTGTATTGTTTGTTTCTTTGTGTTGTCTCATTCAGTCCGTTAGCCTAAAGTTAACATTTGCATATCATTTTCCTAAATCACCTAGCTAATCAATCCGTAGAGCATTATTTCATGCAAGTTTGCAATCATTACAAGCCGACAGTAGTTGTCGATACATTACAAGCAATGGAAGTAAAGCGAGTGGATTTAATCCATCTTTGCGGCACTCGGCATTATCCCCTTCCATGTGTGGTTTGTCCACACATACTCTGGTTTCCGCTCGTGTAAAGCCAAACACACGAATTTTATTAGTCAATCATCCCAATGCAGGACTCTTCAACAAGAAAGTCTCAAAATCACAGTGAGGCTTCCCTGGATAAACAAAGGATATTTTACCTTTTAAAGTTGTCGGGACATAATTGGTGGTGCCAGGTAAAATGTGGACCTCACTAATGCTGTCCAAAGTTAGAATGATTCATATCTCCACAAGATGTGTGTGTGGTTTAAAGAGTTAGCAGTGAAACAAAAAAAGCCATTAACAACTTAAATGTAAATCCTTTCTTCGTCGGTTGCTGAAGCTAATAATGTAAAACAACTGCTTTAATTTAATTCTCTATTGATTCAAAGTTGTACCAAACGTTCACAGGATCTATTACAAAGACTCTGTATAGCCTAAAAGACTAATTGACATTTGATTGTTTAATGAAAAAAAATACAGTGGGGCATTTTCTTTTTGTGCTAAGAAAACAAAGGTTCCTGGATTTCTTGTTCCAATTTAACATAAATCAACACGAAATCATAATTCGAGAAGTTGTGGAGAATTTAAGAAAGAACTACACCCCCCCCCCTCCTCCCAGAGTTGTCCGCCTGCCCCCCCTCATGTATAGCAAAAATAAGAATAAAGCATGTTTTTTTTAAAGTTGCAACGACATAAGCAGACACTACACACCCCTCACATCTGTCTGTTCACATAAACAATAAATATAAGTTTTTTTTAACACATCCCATCAGCCATACAGCCCTTTCAGAGTAAATAATTTCAACAGTATTCCGTCAAATCTTGACTTAAAGCTTTCGTGACTGCACGAATTCATGTTCTTTGAGTCTTTCGGTAGCTTTCCCGTGATATTGTTTCACCTGATGACGATTGCTTCTGTTGCGATCAAAACGTCGTGATATTTTTCATTATTTTTCTATCTACGTGGCTTTACCGAAAGACCCAAAGAATATAAATAGTAATTCGTCAACACAAACTCTGAGCCAGTTTTGACATTCAGTGTCTCATCAATAGTGTCAGGCTCAGCATCTCATCAGCAGATTCAGGTTCAGTGTCGCGTCGCTGAGACACTGCATGTCGAAACCAATCCAAAGTCTGCTTGTTTTGAACCCATGTGGCCTCATGTCTGCTTACGTATCGTTACATAAATTATCTGGATTCCCTTTCCATTGCTTTAATAGCTGAGTTGTACACCTGTGGGGAAAGTGTCTGGCCAGGTTGGGCAAATTTACAAATTGTACAAGAGTGCAATTACAGATTGGCTATACGAGCAGTGGTTGTCTCGCTATGTCTGCTTCGACCAAGCAAGCGTATCTCAGATGCTTTAAGTGCCTCCCCATGGTATTAACAATAACTGCATTTATTTGAACTGTACAACAGTCGGGCAAGTAGTATGGGCGATAACTGGAAATATCAAGTTCCACAGTTTATTGTTCATTTTCTACTAAAAAAGTGACATTTTTGGAAGGGCCCCAAAAAATTGGATGTGAAAAACATGCAAACATTGCATTACATTTCTCCCTGTGATTGTTTAACATGTACATTTTCAAATAACTTTATCTGGATCCTTTAATTTTTTTTTATCGAGAAGAAATGAAGGCAACTGTAATCACAAGTTTGATTACAATCCAGTGAATATTCTGTAAGTGGACACGTCATTCCAATTGTATTTTCTTGTCTGCCTTGAGTGAAATTTTGCCCAGTGCAACGCTGTTATCTATCCACAATTAAACAGAATTGCTTCACATTATTGTCAATTATCACAAACAACAACATACCTCGGGAGATGTTCATTGTTTGTCTCACGATGTTTTTAATTTTGCCATGTAAAACAAATTTTGGTGACAGTTAAATTTCTTCTTTCACGGGAAAGCAGTAGTGCAGTGGTTGGCAGAATGTTTAAAGAATGCAGCTAACATAGGTTTGATTCCGTGCCACTGTTAACATCAGTGGTGTGTAAGATCTAACCTGATCCTGGGTCCCCTTGGTATGAACCAATGCCCTTCATCAACCTGTACTGACCAGTGAGTGTGAAGTAGAGTCAAACAACTCCTATGTGTTAGGGGGTCTTCATCCAAAAGTCGTTTTACAAAGGGTGATAAAGTATACAGTGGATTTATTTCATAAAACGTGACCTTTTGGAGTATGTACGATATTGGGACTCAAATCATTTTCACAACAAATCGGATGATTATAACACTTACACGTGGGCTCTCTGAGCCATGTGCATTCAACTTAAATGCTGTGAAAAATTATAACCACCTTTTTAAAAGCAACCATGACAATAATGTTTGTGGTGTATAATATTGATTATTATATAGTTTTAAAAAAATGTGCATTTCAATCATAGCTGTGGAAAGATTATTGTAAAAGCTGTTAGTTTTCTCCTAGTTTTTCTATCAGGTGAAATTCAGCATAATGATGTCCATGGACAGACTGAAAGTGGCATTGTGCAGTCATCTATCAGTGTGATGAAGCAACTCCTCTCAATACAGGATGTGCCAAATGAGTGAAATGTATAACGAAATCGGGGAATGGGGGCATGGGGCCTGGCGCATGCGGCCTCCTGCTGTTCTTGCAACCAGTGAGTGCTGAAATATGTATGAAGCCCTTCTGTTCATGCAATGTTCTGACCTGTAATGCAAGACCCCTGAGGGATGGATGCACCGCTGCTCCTGAGCACTAAAACCCTGCCAAAAGCAGTGGCCACGTGCACGTGTGATGTGAGCGATAAAGAGAGGAGGCCGGGAGCAGGAGCAACGGTGTGGAATGGGAGTGGACAATGGTGGGAATCAATGTAGGTGACTGTGGTTCTTAGGGGAGGGGTGGGGTGGGAGAGGGCATAGACAAAATGTGAGCGAGGGGTAGAGGCTGGTAGTGGTGGGTAGAGGCCTGGTGGAGGCTGCAAGGAGAGGAGGAAAGAGGGGAGTGGGCACAGTTCGTCTCACCTCCTGTTTACCCTTCATGAAGCACGTCTCCCTCTCCTGTTTACTTGACCTCCAAGTTAGCCTCTGAGAGAAGGAAACGGGTAAAGCAGCAGGATTTACACTTTGCTTGGAGCTCCCTTCCCCCCTTGCAGAGCACACAGACAGACGCCACAGGGCTGCAGCACGCTTTTACTGCTCACACTGAACACTGCCAACCCTAAACCGAGGCAGTGCTAAGATTGATGAGATAAGCTTATTCAATCATTAGTCGAGTTTACAACTGTGTTGAGGTGAAAAAAAGGAACCCATAATATAAACATATAGCTAAATTATGGTAAGAAGTCTACAGTTTCAACAGTGGAGCCTCAACAGACCTCAAGCAGCTTTGGCAAAATGTAATTGCACTGCTATTAGCAACTCTGGACATTTGCTAAAATAGCAAAGGTGCATGGTACAAGCAATTGCTTGCTCACACCAGCCTAAAGAGCCCATCTAGAGGATACTTGGCCTACTGTTCCAGGCTGACCAAACATGTTGGAAGGGCTGGGAGTACTCACACTGTGCTCCACCACAACGGGGCGGTTGGGTGGGTGAACGTAATAAACGTTCACCTCTGGATTGCAAGCCCAGTGTGCTAACCATGACACTGCGGCAGTATCGTTGCAGACTGTACTCGACACAAAACACAGAATCTTGATTCACGTTGATTTTATTTTTGGTGGTGGATCACTGTTATATTTGCACGCATTGTAAATCACTTAATTTTGTGGTCGTCTCATTTAAAAGGTGAAAAAAGACATCAAATCCGCTGCCTGTTTCTCTTGCAACGCAACCCAATACGTGCAACGGAGACAGGAAAGCGGGCAAAAAAAAAATCCCCGCAGGATGTCGAAGCCACACGTTTATTTTTATTTGCAGAGAAACATGGTAAACGCTATGCTCCCAGCAATGCAAGCTTAACACACAAACCAGGTGTGGCTTCCTTTAGCCTTCCATTGTGCCAAGAAACATTAATCATTCTAGCTTCCGTCACAAATGCTGGCATTAATCTTAAACTGGCTACGAGCATGCATTAACGCTTTCCGCGCGTCACCGTGTATTCAGGCTTACGTACATAACGTCCGGCACAGACATATAAATGGAGAAATTTTAAACCATTTAGTACTTTTTTGTGCATCTCTGTTGTTTTTCAACTTGATCATCTCTTTTTTATCCCTTCTGCATTAATGCACGTGAATGGTGTTTCATTCCAATCGCTGGTCAGAAGAATTTCCGCAATCTCAGGGTTGTGTGTCCCAGAGGCTTACTGCAGCCAATTTGATTGCAGTTAATTTGTACACTGTAATTACTGCTGTAAAAAAAAGCCTTGACTGGGAAAGCAATTTGGCAGTTTTACCAACATAATGCGTCAACATCTTTTAGCAAAAATAAATGCACTGTGAAATTTGGTGAATAAATTTAATGGTGTTTGAATGGCCTTGTTAAATATGGAGAATTGGCCCAAAAATACGCTGAAAAGTGAATGACAAAACTGCCAATTAGCATTAATGTATTTTAAACATTAACTGCAATTATTGAAGGGACCTTATTGTATGATCTCACTGTGAAACAAAAAATACAAAAATTTGTTCCTGGGTAGTAAGTGTTATTTCCTAATTGCTTATGCCTCAAAAGTACAGAAAGTGGCTATTATTCCCCACAAACTGTGCTTTTGTGACCAGGACATAAAAGCAAAGTTAATAATCCACTCCATTAATATCACTATGTAACAAATTGAATCTTTTTTTGTTCCTGGGTAGTAAGTGTTATTTCCTAATTGCTTATGCCTCAAAAGTACACAAAGTGGCTATTATTCTCCACAAACTTTGCTTTTGTGACCAGGACAGTGATATTTTGAAATTGACCCATTTTCAATGAGAAAACGTGTGCATGTGTCATTCCTTCACGTAAAGTCCTGGTTACAAAAGCAAAGTTTGTGGGGAATAATAGCCATTTTCTATACTTTTTAGGCATACGCAATTAGAAAAGAACACTTACTACCCAGGAACAAAAATCGTGTTACATAGTGGATCCTTATCCAGTCTAAAATCAAATGAGATAAGAAATCAGGTTAAAAGAGAGATTTCATCCCACCTCTGTCTGTAGATTAATCTCTTGCACGAGCGATGAAATAATCGGTGCAAAGACAGAAATTTGACATGTTGGAAGCTTAATTTGTATCTTGATCCTTCACGGTAATTACACCGTAGTGGAATGCATCTCCCGAAGCACAGACATAATCGCCTGGCACTTGTCATCTGGCTGTGAATGGTTTTTTTTCCTCGTGAAAAAAAAAAGATGAGAGAACACACTTTTTTTGAATTATAATGGAGGTGTCAGACACTGCAACTTCAAGAATAATTTTTGTTCTTTCCCGTTTAATGGGCAAAAGAGTATCGGTTTAGTCTTTTTTTTTAAAGGCAGAGGCACTCCGTGCGGACTTGAATATAGCGGAGGATGATAGGAAGCAGCATCCAAACACTTTATTTATCAAGGCGGAGCTTGCCGTCTACTCGGAAGTGAAATCATTACAAAAATAATTAAGATAAATAGAAACTGCAGCTACCACAACACGAGCACATTGAACTTTGTCATGAGGTGCACAAGGGTATGCAATTCACAACCTAAACGGTCCTGAATACGTTAATAGGGCAATGGAAATGAAATAACCCCCCCCACCCCCAATACTTTTTGCGTATATAAATGGGAAGTTAATTAGACAAGAATTCTGGTCTGCTGCAACCCTGGAGCGTTCATAATTAGCAAATCAGTAATTCCCTGGTGAACGCGCACTGGCCTGCTTGCCCATTCTTAATAGGTTCAACAGATCAAAGTGGGTGTCTCAACCAAATTTTTAAAATATATACATTTTGTTAGTTTGTCGGTTAAAAAAAATATATAACACTGCAGACCTCAAAACAGTCCGGGTGCATTCAAGCTCTGCTGCTTCAAATGCGTAACCAGGAAAAGTTATGCGGCCGAGCATGAGAGTGTAGCCAATGTGACTTAACAGGCTACCATTTTAAACACACACACCCTACCAGCCACGGAAATATTGCAATTAATGCATCGTCTAAAATGAAATTCAAAACTGTGCTCTCTTGCAAGCCGCGCGAATTAGTCGGCGAAGTCGCTCTGCGGACCACTGCTCTCTCGCAGGGCGTCGTGCCGCTGAAACACGGCAACTGATAAAAAGAAGTCGCGCAAGGCAGTGATATTTCAGTTGACCTCACCTTGTCGTAATATATCTCATCTGATAGGGGCGCGTCCAAGTCGAGGCCATAGATGTGATCTCTGCAAAGGGAAAGGCACAAAGTTTTATGTGGAAGCTTTACATTTTCTTTTATTGAGCAATTTATTTTGAAGCGAGCTTCTGTGCGGAGCCTCACTTACTAAAACGATCAACTGTGCACGTGTTTGCATGAATACGTCTGCACATTGTCACAATTCATGCACGCGAGTGTGTGCATGACAGCGCTGTGCTACGTTAAGTGCAATGGCCACATAATTATTTAACTGCAAAAGAGCCACACTTTTCCACGACTAGCAATATATTACCGACACCCAGGTGATATTTAAAAAACTTTCACAAATGAAAACCCACGTCAGGCTCATGACTGTGAAGTGAAAAGTAGAGGCGTGCATTATGGTGTTAGCCAATCACCCTCCTTACTTATAAGGACCTGTTAATTATTTGGTGAGGCTGCTGCATCTGGCAGCGATGCACACAATTGCCATAACAACTCACGTTCGTCAAAAAAGAATAGGCGACGATTCAACCATGGGCTCTTCTAAGAACACACAGAGAGAGGCCTAGGTGCTGTGAATAGGAGCCATTTAAGGAAGGGCCATTACCAGAAACATGACCTATTATATTGTGTTTAATGCGGTTTCATTGATGAATGTGTTGACATGTTTAGCATGTGGATAAGAAGTCTCAAGTGGCATTTTGTTAAACATCATAGGCAACATCGTCCGAACAAGCTAAAAAGAAATGCATTAAGAACAAACTTCAAACTCAATACAAATAAATGACAAGTACAGTCCTGTAAAAGCTCTTGCCCTAGTGTAATAATTGTGTAGATGTCTATCAGCAGAATGCAAATGCGTATAATAACGTCTTTTGTTCTTCCCAGTAAATGGAAAAAAAACCCCACACAAGATAACAGAGCATCACAATGCTGCTTTTTATAACTGAGAGAATAAAATAACATTACTAATTGCCCAGCACACAACAAAGTACACAACAAAGGCTCTTTATTAAACTGGCTTGCCCAGTTTGGTTTTGGGGCACTTAGGAAGCAACAGCAATTGCCGAGAGTGCCGCCGTTAAGGGCTGTGGGTGCTCCAAGGAAAACGCTACCCGAGTCTGCTTGCGCCACACATTTGAAACCCACACGCAGTGCACCGCCCATACAAGGCCGCTACCGGCGTACCCCTTGCAGCTGTGCCGGTCCGCACGCAGGCACTTAAAAGGTGGAGCACCGGCCCACCTGTTAACGCACCACGGAGTGCGCCAACAAACGTCAAAACGAATAGACGACGCATTTTTTTCTCATCTCGCCACACCTGGTATGTACCTGTTACTCGCCGTGTGTGTGTGTGTGTGTACACGGTCGTCTTTGGCATACGTCGCAGAAATGTTCAGCAGGTGACATGAGGATAATCATCACAGAAACCCGTTCACTACTCCCCGCTTTGACATAGACCCTGTCCGTGATGATGAATAAAAACAATAAAACTGTGTGCTCAAATCATTTCAACAATTTTCAGCAAAAAAATTATATGGGCCATATATATCTTGCTTTTATTTCAAACAATATAAACCCTCCTTTTTTACGGCCCACAAGCTACCTGTGTAAATATTATATTCAAGCCACCACACACCGTGCGCTCCCATTCACCCTGGCGAGGCAACTCAATTTGCTGTGCACGTAGCATGTCAGCTGCAGTGCTGGTGAGAGGCTGCTGATGGGGTTTGTGGGGGCAGGGGCTCCGGGCGAGGCCAGGGCAGCTTTAAGGAGGCAGCCGGCAACCGGTGTGGAAAGAGCGGGCGATGGGAGGGACTGGGACTGAACATTTGGGCGAAGAGCTCCGTCTTATCTTTGCCAAGCAGGGGGAAACAAATGCCCGCACCAAATCTCGGGCAGCTTTAAAGTGCATGGCTGCACCCTGCTCCACCATCCCTCCCCTGCACAGATAAGCTTGAATGGACAGCTCGACAGTATCTCTTGTGATTTTTCTCTTCTCCCCACCCCAGCAAGCCTCCGTTACAAGCGGGAACAGAGCGGCAGTGTGTGAGACCCTGTCACCGCACTGAAGCGTGAGTGTCAGATGCCCCCAAATCAGATTTTGCACGGTGGCATAAGGAGCGGAGTGTGGGGGTGGAGGGGTGGGAGGGAAGGTGGGGATGAGGGGCCTTACGATTGATGTTCCCGATTTCATCAATTTCATTTCCCGCAGCTCCCCGGAGAGCTGGCGGGGGTGGGGGTGGATGGGATGGGATAATTTGAGCAGCTCGGCGCACGACGCTAGATTGCTCACGGCACGGTCAGATTGAACGGTGGCGCCTGCAGCCGGCGCGATGGCGGTGGGTGGGGGGGGGGAGAAGCGCTGGCGACCGGCGTGTCAAGCGAGCGGGCTATCCTGAAAAGCCATTTACCTAAAACACGCGGGCCTCGCTGGACACCCACATGCGAAACGAATCCGAAAGTAAGCGCCGCGGGTGGGAGGGAGGGCGATTAAACACGGGTTAGGGGGCGCGATGGTCACACACATCTGTGAATCCAGTGCTCCAGAGGTGGGCGTTTGTGGATCGCACAGACGTCGTCAGTGTGTGCACGAAACACCCAACCTACTGGACTAGGTGGGTGGTAGTTGGGAGTACAGCAGGTAGGCTCTGGAATTCTGCATGGAATGTTGATAGTTTTTTTCCTTTAACATGTAGGCTTTCACGACCAATATTATTCATAAGAGGTTTTTTGGGTTAGATCGCATATATATAAATGCGTCGTTAAACCCGCCACCACCAGACACAGCCAATAAGTAAGGTTTGTTACGTAAACAAAACGTGCCAATTAGTTACTAGTACAGCACACCGGTGTGTTGGTGAGTAAACCCACAGCATTTACAATTCGAGTACGTTTCTCCAGTAATTACGAGCATCATCAGGCGACAGCCACATTTGTGGAGAAATCCTCCTGTTTCGTTCAAAATTACGAAATGTCATGGTACTGGAATTTAAAATGTTGTGGGTTTACGCTCCAACACATTGGTGTGCTGTACCAGTCATGAATTGGCATGTTTTGATTACGTGACAAACCACTAATTGGCCGTGTCGGGTGGTAGCGGGTTTAACGACGCATTAATATTTACGTGATCTAACCCAAAAAAAAAATCTGTTATGAGCAATTTCCTTGTACCCTTTGATTTATTTAAGCGATCTGAATTCCTCGCACGCACAAAAATGCTCGCAACGGACTGGCCAACTATCACAAAGAAGGACACTGCTGAAAAATAGTCTTTGCACTCAGTGAGGGTTTCACGGCTAAATAAAGATTGCATCGTTCATTAAGGTTGTGGAACTCTAATTCACCATAAAACATACTTGTCCATCTAGGAGTTTATCTTCCAGTAAGTAAGTTTCGACGGGGGAATAATGCGTGCTTATTCTGACTGCAAAGTACCAAGTCTCTACGATATTCATCCTGAAACAATATATATGACATTTCACCTCGGTCAAAAAACATGTGATCATGTTTTTTTAACCCTGCGAATATCATGGGGTCTGAGCCATTTGGGAATGGTTGTGTAAAAATAAAATTGGTTCACATATGAGGGAGACAAAAGGAGTAATTTCAGTGGGCTTAAGCCATAACCTTTGTGAGGCATATTCTAATGAATTAAAAGCAGTTAAAATGGCACGGATAATTTCCTAGGCTGGAAGTTGTGTGGATATCACATGGTTGACATTTTATTGTGCTTAGTGTGCAACACCGTGACATCCAAGCTATTTTTATTTTGATACGTAGACTGTAAATTTCACGAGACAGAAAGGCTTACCAAACCACACGTAATATGGCATTTTTGTCAATGTTTTAAAATCCCCGGCTAATGCTTTTTTTCTGATCCCTTAATGCCCCTTCTTACATGTAAACAAACAATGCGGTAAAAATACATTTTAAAATCCCAGGAGTTGCCAACAAATCTTTTAATCTGTGTGCAATACAAACCGATAGGATACTGTGGATGAAAAAGAACAGACGCAAAATTTAAGTTTATTTTCTCTTCTGCAGAAATTTCAAGTAATCCTATTTCTTTTCTGATTAATTTGAATATCCTCTTGTATACTGGCTATTGGCCCCATTTTCAAGGTGAAAACTTTCCGTGCTCTCTGAGAAGAGGATGCTTCTAAATAGCTGTGTAGATCCAGGATTTTATTTCAGAGCGCCAACTATTGTACGCATATATGTTAACTCTAAAGTTAGAGGTGTTGGCAACATTCATCAGCCTGAATGACAGAAAAGGCAGCTGCATTTTCTTGGCAGATATTATTCGTCAGGGCATTATCTTTGCCAAGCTATTTTATAAGTCTGTGGAAAAAAATTCTTATATCGAGCATGTAGGAAGTTTAAAAAAGAGTTAAGAAACATTTATTCCCAGAGTTTTGTATATGCGAAATAAGCCATCACATTCCGTGCTCAACCACGGAGCGAGATGCAATGTCTAAGTGGCATCTACTCGTCCACCAGAGGGTCTGTAGGGAAAATCTAATTGCAAGCTAGTTTGAAATTCAAAGCCTATTTAGGAATTCAATTCGGTGTGGTTACAAGCCACGAGTATCCATTGTTTTTATCCACAGCTGATTACATCAGAACCTTGATGACATTTTATCTCAGACTTGCGCTTTCCCTTGGGCCTTTTAAGCAGCTTGCAGTTCAGGACACCCAGCACTGTTTACAGTACTGGACAGTGACGTCACTGTTGGGTAAAGGTGCAGCCCTGAATTGCTTGTTCGTGGCACTGCTGGCAGAAGAGCCTCCAGGAAAGGGAAATCTAGAAAACCCCTTTAGAGGCCATTTTTGGCCCGGTGTCTTGCAGGAGGTGGGAGTGCCTACATTGTACCCGACCACTCACGACTTGCTGCTTGACTGTGGTGTACTGCTGGGTGGATAAGAGGTGTGGGGGGAGGGGAATGAAGAAACTTGCCCCATTGTTTCAACTGCCGTGCCGGGAGATTGCGCCAGCGAATTTTGGATTGCAAACCCAGTGTGCTGACCTGTTACACCCCGGCA